TGCCAGTGAGAGTCATTTGATACAAAGATTCAACATTACACACAGGATCCTGGATGTTTCTGACTTTATTGTACACTCTGTCCTGAATTTGCAACATTTTACTTATTCTTGGCCTTCATTTCCAGAGTCAACAAGAAACAGATAATTCTTAATGCCATGGTACTCCAGCAACTAAAATAATATTATTCCTATCCAAGTAGTAGCAGATCAGAAAGATGGTGTACTGTATTAATAAGAAAAATACTTCCAGCATAAAAACAATCAAATTATTTTTATTACTTTCCAGATGCATTTTGGTTTTATTGTTATTTTGTCTTCCAGCCTTAGTATAGATACATTTGGAACAGGAACAGGTCTTGAGATAAATATGTTCCAATTTTTAGTTGCAGGGCTGGTTTATGTTGAAACTTTTAAACATCCAGGCAAACCAGTTTGTTACAAGCTCAGTATTAATGTAACAATATTTGCTTGCAGGGGCAAAAAATGAACAAAACCCCTTTTGATAAATCATTTGGTAGAATTTGCACTGAAGTTTGTCTGTAATGTTTTGACCAACAGCCATTAAGAAATCTTTTTGTCAAAATAAGTTTTTTGTGATATATACTGAAAAGTATCTATATCCTGATTTTGAACTAGTTTGATCATTCAATAATTATTTCTCCTACTAAGACATTATGCATCGTTTAACTTATTGATTTAGCTATGTATTACCAAGATCAAAAAATACAGCTTGGCATTGTTACGTGTAAAGCTATGACCATCATAAACTAGAAACACAAAGACATTAAGGTCAGTAATCCTTGGGAAGACATGTTAAACAACATTCTATTTATTTATTTATGGTTGTGCTGGGTTTTATTGTGGCTTATGGGCTCTTCGTGGTGTGCGGGCTCTCTAGTTACAGCACACAGGCTTTGTTGCGCTGCACAATGTGGGATCTTAGTTCCCCAACTAAGGATTGAACCCTCATCCCCTGCATTAGAAAGCAATTCTTTACCACTGGACCACCAAGGAAGTCCCTAAACAGCACTTGAAAATCGAGTAATTACAGTCCCTTTCAGAGCCTATCTTGATCACACTCATTTATTCATTGAACACATTTTTCTAGGGGACACACATATATATTGGGCTTCCCTGGTGGCTCAGCAGGTAAAGAATCCGCCTGCAATGTGGGAGACCTGGGTTCAATCCCTGGGTTGGGAAGATCCCCTGGAGAAGGGAAAGGCTACCCACTCCAGTATTCTGACCTGGAGAATTCCATGGACTATATAGTCCATGGGGTTGCAAAGAGTTGGACACGACTGAGCAACTTTCACTTCTTCACTTTCATTCTAACTGTTCAACCCAGAATATATTCTACTCCAAGACAAAACTCGTGTAGAAATTCAGGAATGTATTATTCATCAAACATACTCAATCTGAAGAATGATCCATATAAATATTCGAAATTCTGCTGGAGCCAAGTATTTCCTGGATGAGACAGACTACATCAGGAAGCAGAGAAAAGCTTTTTCTTCTCTCCAGACGCCACTTCATCTTTGGTCACTATTTCTGGTTAGTCTTCTGTTAATTGCCATAACAGAGCGTCACAAGTTTGGTGGCTTAAAAGAACACAGATTAATGATCCTACAACTCCTTAGGTTAGAAGTCTGATATGGGTCTCCCTGAGCTAAAATCCAGATGACAGCAGGGCTGCGTTCCTTTCAGGAGGCTTGAAGGAAAAAATCCGTTCCTGGCCTTTCCAGCTTCTAGAAACTGTCTCTGCTCCTTGACGTTCAGCCCCCTTCTTCTACCTTCAAAGCTAGTAACGTTGCATCTCTCTGACTCTATCCTGTCATCACATCGCTCTGACAACAGCCAGGAAAGAGTCTCTGTTTTTAAGGACTCCTGTGATTAGATTGGGCTCACAGGATAATCCAGCTATCTCCCTGCGTCTTAGGGTCTGTAGTAGCCTTAATCACATCTGCAAAGGCCACTTTGCCAGGTAAAGTAACACATCACAGCCTCTGTTGGAGGCTTTGGGAGAGAATCTATTCTCAGCTTCTCCCAACCTGTGGCACCTGCTGGCATCCCTTAGCTCATGACTGTATCACTCCAAGGCTGCAGTGACAGGTGAAAGATCTATTGGAAAGGGCTGTTACACCCCACAAAGCAGGTTGAACTTTATATAGACAAAGTTTTTAAGTCACCTAAGGGATAAAATCATCAAAGAAGTTACCCCTGGGCACCAGGAGGGACATGGACTGGAGAGGTAGAGAGTGACTGCTTAGAGTAAGGAGGCTGCTGAGCTGCCCAGTCAAGAATGGCTCTTCTGGTGCAGCCACTGTGGAGAACGCTATGGGCAGTCCTTTTAAAACTAAAAATAGAGTTATCATATGGGCCAGCAATCTCACTCCTGTGCATATGTCCAGAAAAGACAAAAACTCTAATCCTAAAAGATACGTCTACCCAGTGTTCATAGCAGCACTATTTATAATAGCCAAGACTTGGAAACAACTCAAGTGCCCATCGCCAGGCGATTGGTTTAAGATGTATTGTGTGCTAAGTTGTTTCATTCATGTCTGACTCTGTGATCCCATGGACTGTAGCCTGCCAGGCTCCTCTGTCCATAGGATTCTCCAGCAAGAATACTGGAGCAGGTTGCCATGCCCTCCTCCAAGGAATCTTCCGGACCCAGGGATTGAACCTGAGTCTCTTTCATCTCCTGCATTGGCTGGCAGGTTCTTTTACCACTGAACCACCACCTGGGAAGCCCTTAAGATGCAGTGTGTGTATATAAATATATAAAATGGAATGTTAGTCATAAAAAAGAATGAAATATGCCATTTGCTGCAACATGATTGGACTTAGAGAATATCATACTAAAGTAAGTCAGAGAAAAATGAATATTATATGATATCACTTATATGTGAAATCTAAAAAAAAAAATAGTGCAAATTAATCTACATACAAAGCAGACACAGACTCATAGACATAGAAAACAAACTATGGTTACCAGAGCGGAAAGCAGGAGATAAATTAGGAGTATGGGATTAACACATATAAACTACTATATACGTAAATTACATAAGCAGTAAGGATTTACTGTATAACACAGGGAGCTATATTCAATACCTTGAAATAACCTATAATGAAAAATTATCTGAAAAAATACAACATATATAACTGAGAATCACTTTGCCGTACACCTGAAACTAACACAATACTGTAAATCACTTATTCTTCAATTTAAAAAAAAAGAAATGCCCCTTAAATGGCAAAGCGGTGTTCATGTAGAGAGAGGGAAAGGGCTAGATTTGAGAGCTGGGAAGAAAAACCAAGAGTGCTTTCTCTCAGCATCTACCCCTCTTTGTGTGGTAACTGCACTCTGCTGAGGGGAAGCAGGGGTAACTTCACCTCCTGCTTCAGGCCCTGGACTCCAGGGGTGGGGCTCCTGCTCTGAATCGTTAACTTGTTCTGTTCCCGCTTTTCCTGGAGGAGCACATGACCCTAATCAAGACAGTCAGGCCACCAAGACCCAACCTGGGACTTCTGTAAGCAGACTCCCTCCTGCGAGACCCAGTGGCGTCACTTGGGCATCTGGGCCAGCCCCGGACAGCCGTGGACCTGAGATGGAGCCCACCCAGGGGCTTGGGAGCCGATAGCTGAATCCTGGGAGCATCTTTGAGCCCCGAATCGAGCTGTAATTTAGCAACTGTGCTTGTGGACTTGTCATAGGCTGCTGGGGTTTTTTAATTTTATTTTTTTGGTCTAAGCCAGTTTGAGTTGAATTTTATGTTCAAATGGACTCTGAATGAAGATTATTCAGTGTCTCTAATGATTACCACTGGGAACAGGGAAAACAAGGAAGTCTCCTGCTCTTGGTCTCATGGCCAGGAGTGGACACAGATTTTCTTAGGCACTGTTGGCCCCTCTTAGGTAGGGGTGGACATTTCTTCCTCATTTGCTAAGCTAGTGGAATCAAAGGCCTTGGAGATTCTGGAAGGGGAGGCCCAGACCAGTGACTCCTAGACTTCAGGATTTCACAGATTTTTAGATTTCACAGATTTCAGCAGCAAAATTACAAAGAAAAATCTTAGGATCCAAATTCAAATTGCCAAGTTTTAATTTTGTTAAGTAAAAATCTGAAAACAAACACATTAAAAAAAAAACACTGCTATCTACTATCACCATAATATCATAAAAGAAATGACACTTTGACACACACTCATGAAGGATAACTGTCGAATACGGGGCAGTCATTTAAAACGAATACCCTTAGCTTTGTGAAAGTTACTCTGTGGCACTCATGTCTCTCTGTCTCAGATATGTGACACTTCCCTAGCAACACTGATCTCCTAACTGACCTAGTAGAGAACTCTGTGCCTCTCAGTAAAGGGTTCCCAGCCCTCCTATGTCACCCACATCTCTGGCAGAGGAAACACCTGGACAGCTCTGAACATCTGTCTCAGTGGGGCCCCCAAAGCCGTGATCTCTGGCCAGTCTATAGATCACCCAACCTTGAGCTTGTTGTCCACCAGCTAGGGCAGAGTGGGGTGGTTATGACACTCGAGCGTAAGCACTATGAGGTGTGAGTGGCAGACCACCCAGTCGACACATCAGGGCCAGCTTGTATGAGGGCCAGTTCTGGCTCCAGAGTCGCTTTCCTGAGCTGACAGCACCTATTTGTCCTCCGCAAGCATGGTAGCTTCCCACCATATACACATCCAGTTACAGCTGGCAAACCCCTATCTCCTAGATCAAGTGAGGTTGAGTGACCTGAGCCCCCATAATCCCATGCTCCCGGTGTCCAGACCTCACCCCGACAAACACACTTATCAGAGAAGCCTGAGAAGACATGCCAAGTCATATGTGCTATGTCATTTATTGTCACATTCCTCATGAAACAGGGGCAGGAATGGGGAGGGGGGAGCCTCCCGGCAGAGAGGAGAGAGGGAGCGAACAGCCTGCCCTTCCTCCAGGCTGGTGACCATAGGGGCTCGGGCATCAGCAGGATTCCCTTAGATGCAAGCACAGTGCTGGGTGAGAAGGTTGGGCACCATCTCATACTTAAAAGAGTAACCTCCATCCGAGGTGGTGCGGACGTGTAGGGGCCTCATGGTCCCCGGGAGAGCAGCGCAACAGGGCTGGGCCCCTGGCACCAGAGAGGGGGGCTGGAAAGGGGTAGGGGGCACCCCGGGGACGGGCAGGGGCAGGTCTTGTGGGGTGGGCAGCCCACACTCCCCGTGACAGTAGTGGAAGATGAAACTGGGAGGGTGCACGATCCACCGGTCCCAGCCCAGCTCCTGGAAGGAGATATTGAGGGCGGCTCTGTGGCAGTCGGCATGAGCAGCGGGCTCCTCTGGAGGCCTCTGCAGCAGGCGCAGCGCAGCGGGAGACCAAGGCCAGGGCAGCGGGGGCGTGGAGCGCCGGGCCCTCTCCCCTCCACTGGGCGGCCTGGCCCGTGTGTGGGCCACCAGGAAGGGGGTGGCCTCAGGCCAGGCGGAGCAGGAACAGAGAGGACACCGCAGCAGGAGCACCAGGACAGGATGGGTCAGCAGAGGGAAGGCGGAGGTGGCCAGGTGCAGGACAGCCCAGCGAGGGGGGGCCTGGCCCAGTGACATGGGCACAGATGTGGGACCCCCGGATGTCAGTACCAGCAGGTCGAGCAGGGGCTCAGAGCTATTGGCGGCAGTGGTCTGCTGTCTGTCCAGTCCCGTGTGGAACCACAGCTGGGCCGAAGTCACCTGGCGGCTGCGTGTGTGCTGGGATGGCCGGAACACATACGTGAAGAGGCCCTCCTCAGCCTCCCCAGCATCTGGCTCATCGCCGCAGCTGGCACCTGCAGGGGGCAGAGGGAAGGGAGAGGGCAGCCCGGACGGCAAAGCCTGGGACCCCTCCCCCTCAGCAGGAGGGATCTGGCTGCCACTCTCGAGCCTGCCAGGCACCACGTGGAGTGCTTGGCCAGAGGCCATGACCCTCCCCAATCTTCGGGCAACTGACAGAGACCCGCCCCCCGCCAATGTGCTCAGTTCTCTTCAGTTCAGTCGTTCAGTTGTATCTGACTCTTTGCAACCCCATGAACTGCAGCATACCAGGCCTCCCTGTCCATCACCAATTTCTGGAGTTTACTCAAACTTATGTCCATTGGATCGGTGATGCCATCCAACCATCTCATCCTCTGTTGTCCCCTTCTCCTCCCACCTTTAATCTTTCCCAGCATCAGAGTCTTTTCAAATGAGTCAATTCTTTGCATCAGGTAGCCAAAGTATTGGAGTTTCAGCTTCAGCATCAGTCCTTCCAATGAATATTCAGGACTGATCTCTTTTAGGAAAATCCCCATGTGTTACTTCAGCATTAAAAGACTTCAAAAATGCCAGCCCCTGCCAACTTCTCTCTGAAGTGGTTTTACCAATTAATATTCCCATTGGTGATATGTAAGATGCCCTGCACTCTCTCCCTTCACCATTGCTTAGAATTGTTAGTTTCTATTTAAATTGTTGTTCATCTGACACTATGAAATGGTACCTTGAATGCTGTGTACACAGGCATTTGTTATATTACTCATGTCAGAAATACTGCATGAGAAATCCTTTAAAATAACTCCACTTTAAAAAGGTTAACACCAAGAAGAAGAAGGAGGTAGGGGATGGGGAGGAGGAGAAAGGATTAAGCTCAGAATCAAAGACAGTGCTTTCTAAGAAAATGCAGTTGGCATCCTTACCCTGACAGGTATATAGACTGCATCAAACAGTCACGAACCAGCACGAGTTAAAGAACTAGCAATTGGGGCTGTACTGTTATGTGGAACATCTCATTATAAACCTCACAACAACTGATCCATCTAGCAGATGAGAAGTGTTAGTCCCTCAGTCATGTCTGACTCTTTGTGACCCCATGGCCCACCAGGTTCCTCTGTCCATGGGATTCTCCAGGCCAGAATACTGGAGTGGGTTGCCATTCCCTTCTGCAGGGGATCCTCCCAACCCAGGGATCGAACCTGGGTCTCCCACACTGCAGACAAATGTTTAACCATCCGAGCCACCAGGGCAAAGGGAAGGTTAGAAAGATGAAAAGCCATTAAACTAAGTGCCCAGGCTGGGATCCTGCCTGATCCTAAAGCCACATGCACTGTGCTGCCTGGGGCCCGAAGGACAGGGAGGCAGGGCATCCTCTCTGAAAGAAAAATGAGCCAAGTTACAAGAAGGTCCAGTCAGAGGAAGGCTTTACTCACTGAGTCAGTGCAACTGACTGGAGAGATGAGAAGGGAATTCAAGAGAAGGTAGGTTAGTTTCCCAGCTAACTGTTCTCCCAAATCCCTGATATCTTCTCAAGCCTCAGCTATCTGGGGCTAAAAAAAACAGTGTTCGGAGCAGGGAGCAAAAGCAAAGGTAGGAGGAAAGATGGCAGGAAGGGGCCCGTGCCCAGATATCTCTGTCCCTAGAGACCCTTGGCCTTCCAGATGACTATCTCCCAAATGGCTCCTATGAACCAGGCACTCTGGATACACCATCTCACTCAATCCTGCGAGGTAGGCATTATAGCGCTTTTCACAGATGAGGAGACAGGAGGCTCAGGAAGGTTTAGTAACTGGTCCATTATTGTAAAGTCAGTTGAGTGTCAGGTCTGGGATTCAACCCCAGACCTGCCTAGCTCCCGAGCCCAGGCTACACAACACTCTTTGTCAGAGTCAAGGTGCCAGTACCCCACCCTCATTACCTGCAGCTGGGAAGAGGATGGCCTGGGAGACATCTTGGTCCTCGGGCTCAGAGCCCCTGCGCATGAAGCCCCCCACGGCATGCCTTCGGGGCAGACGCCTGACTCCAGGATCTCCACCTTCCCCAGTCACCGGCGGGGGCCCCAAGGCATCCAGGAACAGGGCCCTCACCTTGGCCAGGACGAGTTCCCGGTCCAGCTCCGGCCCATGACAGCCATGCCCGCCCTGAGGGGCCAACAGCAAGAGGAGCAGCTGAAGCCACATAGCTTACCTGGCCCTGCCCACCGGGAACCCACACCCTGCCCTGTGCCCCTTCTGCCAGGGTCTGCCCAGGGCCTCCCCACTCCACCCTCCCCATCCCACCACCGCCCTCTTCTACCCTTCTCACCCCAGTCTTCCCCAGCCCTTCCCACGCCCCGCAGTCGAGTTGCCCCTGCCCATGGCATTGAGACCTCCTATCTCTGACGCAGATGTCTGTGGCCCTGAGTCTTATCTCCCACTCCCGCCAGGAATGTGGGGGAGGGGCTGGAGAGGGCTTTCACCCTAAGTGACCTAAACCACACATACAAGCCCTCACCCTCCACACACACACACACACACACACACACAGTCACAACCCAGCACCAGATGGGCCAGGAGCCTGTTAACTGGGGGGGTCTGCCAGCTCTAAAAAGCGTTATTTGTCAGGGAAACAGAGCATGCCAGGCCCTCGCAGCTTCTGGGGCCCTTTTCAACCCAGCAGCTGCTGGACCAGTCCTGGGGGGGAAGGGCCGGGGCGGGGGCTAGAACTGGGGTTAGGGCGGGGGGCAGGGGTCCCGCCTGCTCTAAACTTAGCCTGGAGGAGCCGATCTGAGCTCTCGTCCTCCAGCTGTGTCATCAGAGAATATTTTTGGGATTGGCAGCCGCAGGCTTCTCTGTCACTCAGGCCCGATCCTGGCGGACTGCTGGGGACCTGGCGGCTGGAGGTGGGAGGGAGGAGGGGAAAGAGGCCCTGGCTGTGGGAGGGGGCTGGGAAGGCCGGCTCTCCGGAGCAGGAAGCCAGGCCGCAGGCAGGGGAGGCTGCGGGGCCCCTCGCTGGTGAGGCAAACAGGAAGGACTCCCCCCTGAGCCCTGGGCCCCCGGCCCGAGAATTGCTGCCGCCGCCGCCACCGCCGCCGCAGAGCCACAGCTCCGGGCGGAGGGTAAGGAGGCGAGCCGCGAGCGGTCGGCCAGCAGAGAGCCCCGCGGGTCCCGGCGCCCAGTCCCCGGACGCGCCCCGCCTCCCAGGCTCCCGCCGCCGCTCGCGGCCTGCCCTTGCGCCACCGCGATGAAGGCGGGCTCGGGGGATCAGGGGAGCCCCCCGTGCTTCCTGCGCTTCCCGCGGCCCGTGCGGGTGGTAAGTGGCGCGGAGGCCGAGCTCAAGTGCGTGGTGCTGGGGGAGCCGCCGCCCATTGTTGTGTGGGAGAAGGGCGGGCAGGAGTTGGCGGCCTCCGATCGCCTGAGCTTCCCGGTGGACGGCGCCGAGCACTGCCTGCTGCTGAGCGGCGCCCTGCCCACCGACGCTGGGGTCTACGTGTGCCGCGCCCGCAACTCGGCCGGAGAGGCCTACGCGGCGGCCGCCGTCACCGTGCTGGAGCCGCCGGCCCCCGAGCCCGAGCCCCAGCTCGCCGAGCGCCCGCTGCCGCCGCCCGGAGCCGGGGAAGGCGCCCCGGTGTTCCTGACGGGGCCCCGGTCCCAGTGGGTGCTGCGGGGGGCAGAGGTGGTGCTAGAGTGCCAGGTGGGGGGCCTCCCCGCGCCCACGCTCTACTGGGAGAAGGATGGGATGGCGCTGGACGAAGTGTGGGACAGCAGCCACTTCTCACTCGAGCCGGGCAGCGTCGAGGGCCGAGCGGGCGCGGGCGCGAACCTGGCGCTTCGCATCCTGGCGGCTCGGCTGCCCGACTCGGGCGTCTACGTGTGCCACGCCCGCAACGCGCACGGCCACGCGCGGGCCGGGGCGCTGCTGCAGGTGCAGCAGCCCCCCGAGAGCCCGCCTGAGGACCCCGACGAGGCCCCCACGCCCGTGGTGGAGCCGCTCAAGTGCGCGCCCAAGACCTTCTGGGTGAACGAGGGCAAGCACGCCAAGTTCCGCTGCTACGTGATGGGCAAGCCGGAGCCCGAGATCGAATGGCACTGGGAGGGCCGCCCGCTGCTCCCCGATCGCCGCCGCCTCATGTACCGCGACCGAGACGGCGGCTTTGTGCTCAAGGTGCTGTACTGCCAGGCCAAGGACCGCGGGCTGTACGTGTGCGCCGCGCGCAATTCGGCGGGCCAGACGCTGAGTGCTGTGCAGCTGCACGTGAAAGGTACCGCGGCGCCCCCGGGCGGCCGGGGCCGGGGAGGGGCCTCCAGCGCCCTCCCTGACCCCCCTTACTCCAGCCCCACTCAGTGCCTAGAAGGCAGCGAGGAGTAAGGGAGGCTAAATATTAAAATGCCATTTCCCACCTCCCTCCCTCCCTCCCATCCCCCAGGGATTCGGGTTTAGGCCGGCTCCAAGGTCCCTGCTCCAGGAACTTCTTAGCAAGCTCTCTCCAAATGATTCTGAGGCAGATGGTGGAAAACCACTCTTCCATAAAGGGCTTTAAGGAATGATTGAATGATTGACCCAGAGGGGCCTACAACTCTTTTGTAGTTCAGTGTTTTTCAGCCTCTTTGTTATTTCACTACCCATCCCCCAATGGAAACCCCATTGGGGCCCCATATATTATATAAAAGGATTGTTTTATGGGTGTAAATTTCTAAATCCAAATTTGTAACATACATTTATAAAGTCAGTCAATGAAAACAAGGGATCTGTCTTATTAAGCACACACATTTTAACCATTCATAACTGGGTCTAGCTTTTGAGCCCATGGGGAAAGCGTAGCTTCAGGTGTCACACTGACAAACTCCTGATTCACACCAAAGGGAGAAAACTTGAGGGCAAAAAAAATGTCCCCCAATTTTTGAATATTCTGTCATCAGACTGCTCTCCAGGTTTGCAAGACGAAGAAGGTGAAGGAGAGGAAATTTATATTTCAAAGTTGAGCCCCCAATGGTAAATAAACGCTTACATTGCTCATAAATACAAAAGTCAGGGGTGAAAAACACACCCAATTCACATTGGAAGTTAAAGCTGCCTGTAATAGGAGTTCATCACAACCTCATGGCATAATACCTTCACTAGTTATTACCCAACTCTTTCCCTCAGAGGAAAAATAGTTGGCAAATCTCCCGAGTCCGGCCAGGCACGCAGTCAAGCATGTGGCACCTGTACCACGGGTGGTGGCCTCTTGGGTACAGTTTGATGTGCACAAACCGGCCAGGCAGAGCTGAACTCTCACCCCCTGAGGACAGAAAAGCCCAGAACGAAGGCCAGGATTCCCAGAGCCAAGTGACAAGACAGACGTGCTCTCCTGGCAGCCCGAGTGACCCCACTGGCGGTTTCTGTCATCATGCTTTCTTTTTATAAAATGCAGTTTTAAAAGTGGTTGAAGTACTTTCAAAATGAAGTTCAACTCAAACCCTTGTAGAATTGTGTGTGGTGCCCATGAGGGGCCCCACGGAATATTTTGAAAATCCCTGATACAGCCCCAAGCCCTTTCATCCCTTTTTCTGCTTTAAAAATAAAGAAACTGCAGCCCAACATCTAAGCTCAAGATGGCCTTGGTCAAGGTGATGTGTTAGGGTCAACTAGAATTCGGGTCTTCTGACTTCCTTTCTGAGGGTTTTTCTGATTATACAACGCCTCTAGCTCTGGGAGAAGAGCAAATGGCCCGAGCTACCGTGGGTTTAGGCAGTGGGTGACGGAGGAGGGTCTTTCTCCCGGTCAGGGCCCTCTCCAGAACCTTCTCTGGTCTCTACCTTCTCCACAGAGCCCCGCCTCCGCTTCTCGAGGCCGCTGCAGGACGTGGAGGGCCGGGAGCATGGAATTGCGGTGCTGGAGTGTAAAGTCCCCAACTCGCGCATTCCCACCGCCTGGTTCCGCGAGGACCAGCGGCTGCTGCCCTGTCGCAAGTACGAGCAAATCGAGGAGGGCACGGTCCGCCGCCTCATCATCCACAGGCTGAAGGCGGACGACGACGGCGTCTACCTGTGCGAGATGCGCGGCCGAGTGCGCACCGTGGCCAACGTGACGGTCAAAGGTCGGCTGGCCGGTGGTGGGGGGAGGCCGAGACTGAGGCAGTCCGGTGCCCAGACCGCGGGCTGATAATATCCCATCCGTGTCTCAGGGCCAATTCTGAAGCGGCTGCCCCGGAAGCTCGACGTTTTTGAGGGCGAAAACGCGGTGCTGCTGGTGGAGACTCGCGAGGCTGGGGTGGAGGGACGCTGGAGCCGCGACGGGGAGGACCTGCCGGCCACCTGCCAGAGCAGCTCGGGCCACATGCACGCCCTGGTCCTTCCAGGGGTCACCCGAGAAGATGCCGGGGAGGTCACCTTCAGTCTGGGCAACTCCCGGACCACCACTCTGCTCAGAGTCAAATGTGAGGGCCCCAAAGCCCCTAGGCAGCCTCCTCAAGGGCTGGACATGACGGTCAGGGTAGGAAGGTGACCAGATGACAGAGTCTGGGTTGGCAAAGTCGACTTTAGGTCGCAGGGCTGTGGGAGGCTGGAACAGGGCTCGGATGCAAACCCTGCCTCTGTCCCAGGCGTCAAGCATAATCCCCCGGGACCCCCACTGTTGGCCGAGATGTTCAAGGGCCACAGGAACACAGTCCTGCTCACGTGGAAGCCTCCAGACCCCACCCCCGAAACCCCCTTCATCTACCGGCTGGAGCGGCAGGAGGTGGGCTCGGAAGACTGGGTCCAGTGCTTCAGCATTGAGAAAGCCGGGGCTGTGGAAGTGCCCGGGGACTGTGTGCCGACCGAGGGCGACTACCGCTTCCGAGTCTGCACCGTCAGCGAACACGGCCGCAGCCCCCACGTGGTGTTCCACGGGTCTGCTCACCTGGGTGAGTCGGTCCTGTCAGCCCAGGCTGTCAGTGGCTGTACCTGAAGTCGTGCCCTCCCTGTCACCCTTCCTCCCTTCCCCGCCCTCCCCCGTCCCTCTGCTACATGCCGTCTACCTGCCAGCCTCTGCCCTCTGCCCGCCCCCTGGTTCTCATAGCTGTGCTCTGTGCAAACTCAGTGCCCACAGCTCGCCTGGTGGCTGGTCTGGAGGATGTGCAGGTGTATGACGGGGAAGACGCCGTCTTCTCCCTGGATCTCTCCACCGTCATCCAGGGCACCTGGTTCCTTAACGGGGAGGAGCTCAAGAGTAAGGAGCCAGAGGGCCAGGTGGGGCCCGGGCCCCTGCGGTACCGGATGGAACAGCATGGCCTGCAGCACAGGCTCATCCTGCAGGCCGTCCGACATCAGGACAGCGGCTCCTTGATCGGCTTCAGCTGCCCTGGTGTGCAGGACTCAGCCGCCCTCACCATCCAAGGTTGGTGCTGGTGGGGACCATGGTGGGCAGATCGGGTCAAGACATAAAAGTCCCGTTAGCAAAATGAGGCACCTGCTATTCGTGCTTCTCACATCTGGGCCAGGAACCAGGAGCATCCCAGGTGAGCTCAGATAGAGCACTCAGGGATCCAGAAGTTCAGTTTCTACCTGTGCTTAGTCGCTTAGTCGTGTCTGACTCTCTGCGACCCTGACAGGCTCCTCTGTCCATGGGGATTCTCCAGGCAAGAATACTGGTGTGGGCTGCCGTTCTTTCCTCCAGGGGATCTTTCCAACCCAGGGATCAAACCTACGTCTCCTGCATTGTAGGCGGATTCTTTACCGTCTGAGCCACCAGAGAAGCCAGTATAGGAGACCCCTTGTTATCTTCACCAGCCTCATATCCAAATTCTCTAGGGGTACTTTGTGGTTTGCAGAATTCTGTCATGTTTGTCATCTTAAAGACACAGACCTTGGCCCCTAGTCCCTGACCATTTCCTGCCCTACTGTGTGATGGCTAACACTATCGGAGTCACTTCCTGTGTGCCGGGCACAATCCTAATTGCTTTACATGTATTAATTAGCACAGACCTCTCAACAGCCCTACAAGTTGTGTTTTTTGTCATCCCATTTTACAGATTGGGAAAACAGACACAGGTTCAGTGACTTGCCCAAAGTCATAAAACTGATGAGTGCTAGTGCCGGATTATGAATGCAGGAGGTCTGGCTTCAGTATCGCACTCTGCCACCCTGAGGAAAGAGGAGAGGAGAAGGAATGAGGCCTCCCTGAGGATGACAGTTCTTGGCAGGAGTCTGAAAGTTCAGGGAACGCACTGGCATTTGCTGTTGCACCATTGCTGGAATTTGTAAGGCCAGTCACGGAATTCCTCCGTGTCCATGCACAGGGCCTGGAGGCAGTTAGCCGGCAGCAGCCCAGGAGGAGGACAAAGTAAGAAATAACCACAAAGAGCAGCATTACTAAAATACAACCCAGGTTCAGATGGTAAAGAATCTACCTGCAATGCAGGAGACCTGGATTCAATCCCTAGGTTGGGAAGAACTCCTGGAGAAAGAAATAGCAACCCAATCCTTCTTGCCTGGAGAATTCTGTGGACAGATTAGCCTGGCAAGCTACAGTCCATGGGGTCTCAAAGAGTCAGACACACAACTGAGCAACTAATACTTTCACTTTTTTTCACTAACATTGGGCTTCCCTGGTGATTCAGGCGGTAAAGAATCTGCCCGCAATGCTGGAGACCTGGATTCAATCAGGTCTGGAAGGGTCAGGAAGCTCCCTTGGAGAGGGGAATGGCAACCCACTCTTCCCTGGAGAAGTCCAAGGGGTTGCAAAGAATCAGACAAGGCTGAATGACTAATACTTTCACCAATGTCAGAGTCATGCTGAGGGCTGGTTTATAATGCAGAGTCTTTGACCCTTGCATGCTGGGACGGGGGCAGGGGCAAAGCCTAGGAATCTGCATTTTTAGCAGGCTCTCTGGGAATCCTTATGCACACTAAAACCACTGCTCTTGGGAGTTGGTGTGTAAATGCAAAACGAATTTTTAAAACCAACAAATGCATCACGACAGTCGTCTGGCCTGATGTGCCCAGCCCCCTCCCCCAGCACGTGCCCTGCAGTGGGGTGCTCACTGGGTAAGCAGAGCACGACCAGGGCGCTACCCATGACCACACCTCTCCCCACGCAGAGAGCCCTGTGCACATCCTGAGCCCCCAGGACAAGGTGTCGCTGACCTTCACGACCTCAGATCGGGTGGTACTGACCTGTGAGCTCTCGCGGGTGGACTTCCCAGCGAGCTGGTACAAGGATGGGCAGCAGGTGGAGGAGAGCGAGTCACTGGTGGTGAAGATGGACGGGCGCAAACACCGCCTGATCCTGCCCGAGGCCCAGGTCCTGGACAGCGGCGAGTTCGAGTGCAGGACGGAAGGCGTCTCAGCCTTCTTCAGCGTCTCCGTCCAAGGTCAGGGACTGAGGCGGCCTAGGCTCCCCTAGCTGAGGCTGACCCAGGGGGCTGTGCCCATCCTACCCCACCCCCTGCTCTGCCTGCTTGAGGGTCCCTTCCAGGGAGGGCCTGGGGGGCCAGGGGACATGTTTGCAGATCATGCTGCCCCCACACTACCCTCCAGCACACTTGGCCCTCATGTACCCTCTGCTGGGAGGGATGTGAGGGGACCTCAAATCAGTGAAGGGCAGGGGAGGTGGGAGCTAACATTTGTTAGGCACCTGCTAGCCAAGCCCTGTGCTGGATACTTGAAATGTACACTTTCATCCAACATTCAAGGCTACATGAGAGCCAGTATATCTCCATTCACGGATGAAGTAGCTGAGACTCAGAGAGGTTATGCAACTTGCTCACAATCACACAGCCAGCAACTATGCTATCTGGGTTCACACCCAGGACTGCTTATTCCATGCCGCGGGAGGTCAGGGTCAAAGGAAAGCTTTAGGTGCAGTGGTCCAGAGGTTCTTGGAAGCCAGTCTATGTTCTGGCTGCTTCAGAGACACCCTGGAAACCTGTTATTAGTGCGTAGCCCCTCCCCACCCCCCACCCCCACCCCAGGCCTCCAGAGCCAGAATATCCAGGACAGAGCTTTGAGATCCACTCTAGGAGGACAACTCTGGAACCATTGAACCAGCTCAGTCTTCTCACTTGACTGGAAATCCTGTTACAGCCCCATTGCCAGAAGGTCCTCTGCCCCTGCATGAATGTGCCCTGTGATGGGGAGCTCACTACCTGTAGGGGGTGTTACACCAAGGTGACAACACTGAATCATTCCCATCTCCCACCTCCTCCCTGTCCTGGGGCCAATGCACCGGGGGCTTCCTGGTACAACCAGCAGCAAGCAGTGATCTCCTCTCAGCCTAGACAAAGGCCCTCTGTGTCCCCACCCAGCATCCTCAGATCCTCTGGGGACTCACAGGCCTGTCCGCAGGATCGGCGATACTGACCTGTGACTCCTCACCCACCATGCCCTGAGTACTCCACGTCATTGCCCCAGAACCCACCCTCCTCCCAGCCACCATGGACTCAGGTGTTCCGTGGGTGGGTGTCAGTGTGACCCCATCTCTGCTCCCCCCAGACCCCCCAGTGCACCTCGTGGCCCCCCGGGAGCACGTGTTTGTGCATGCCATCACCTCCGAGTGCGTCATGCTGACCTGTGAGGTGGACCGGGAGGACGCCCCCGTGCACTGGTACAAGGACGGGCAGGAGGTGGAGGAGAGCGACTTCGTGCTCCTGGAGAGTGAAGGGCCCCATCGCCGCCTTGTGCTGCCCTCTGCCCAGCCTTCCGTCGGGGGCGAGTTCCAGTGCGTCGCTGGGGACGAGCGCGCCTACTTCACTGTGACCATCACAGGTGGGGCTCCAGGCGGGCCACGGGATGGGGCAGCTGTGCCCTGCTCCCGCCTGGACAGCCGGCACACTCCTGGGCCACCATTCCCAACCCCCCCAGCTGATCACACCCCACCCTTTTCCCCCCAACCCATGGTCTGCATGCTGAGGTTCAGCCACTGCAGAAAATGCATTGTTATAAGCACACTAGCCATACCTATATGGCACAAGGAAGCCTGCCTTCTCTGTTTTCCTGAAGGCCCTCCAAGGGGAGCCTTAGGGATGGTAGTGGGGGGTGAGGAGACCCAAGCACTAGAGGGGTCAAAGGTCTCCTGTGGGAGACCCCAGCTCTATCTGGGCACCCAGCCCTCCTCTCCCCAACCTCACCCTTCGTGTAGCCCTGACCCCACCCAGAGAATGGAGAGAGTTTCTACAGGTAAGGCTGACACCACGGTCCCCACTGTGCTTTGGGGACCATGGTCATGTCTCTAGCTGTGAGTAACCTTGTGAGTAACCTTCTGAACCGCTGTGAGCCCTGGTCCAAGGGAAGACCCTCTTCTTCAGCATGCAGCCCACCTTCTGGGAGTAGGGAACAGGCGTGAACCGGGCAAGGTGGCTGGGCATCTCGGCCCCAGCCCCAGATGCCCAGCCACGGCTGTGTCGTGTCCTGCAGACGTCTCCTCGTGGATCGTGTACCCCAGCGGCAAGGTGTACGTGGCGGCCGTGCGCCTGGAGCGCGTGGTGCTGACCTGCGAGCTGTGCCGGCCCTGGGCCGAGGTGCGCTGGACCAAGGATGGCGAGGAGGTGGTGGAGAGTCCCGCGCTGCTCCTGCAGAAGGAGGACACGGTGCGCCGTCTGGTGCTGCCCGCCGTTCAGCTCGAAGACTCGGGCGAGTACTTGTGTGAAATCGATGACGAATCCGCCTCGTTCACGGTCACCGTCACAGGTGTGGGCCCACCCCCACCCCTGGGGTCACCAGAGGACGGCCCTGAGCCCTTGGGGAGCTGGCCACATAGCCCCTAGCTAGCACATTGGGGAGGGGGAGGGGGACTGTGGGTGCATGAACTGGTGGTGGTGGGGGGTGGTCCCTGCCCAGAAGACCCCAGGGTCCCTGTTGGAGGAAGCAGGCTCCTCCCTGGCACCTAAGGCCGGGAATAGCTGTGCTCCACCAGCTCACTTACTGAGCACTTTATATGTGTCAGGCACTGGGCTAGGTGCTGTGGGTCGCTGATGCTTATTGCAGATAAAGTCCCTGCTCTCAGACAGCTGCCGGTCTAGCTGGGTGGGGGGGTGCAGCTGTTAACCAGGGGTCGCAAACCGGCAGTCCCTCGGGCTCCATACAGCCCACAGGTGTGTTGTGTTTGGCCTGCAGAGTCATACCAAAGTCAGGACAGTTCCAATAACAACCCGGAGTTATGCATCCTCTTGAAAAAGCCGAAGACCCGGCGCCTCTGGTCCCGCTTCCCCCCTTGGCGACGAACAGCTGGCGCTGAGTAGCAGCTGCCCCCATAATTCGGGGCCCACATTCCTCTGTCTCACACCCACCCCCAACCCCCACTGTTCTTTTTTGCTCCCCTTCCTAGACTGCTTCAGCCTGGCCCCCTTGGGCATTTGAGTTTGCGACCCCTGTGTTTAACCAATAAACACGCAAATAAATGTACGGTGACACTTCGTGACAAGTGCTGTGGAGGGATGAGGGCTTGAGAGCCTGACAGGAGGTCAGGGAGGGCCTCGGGGAGAGTCACCGTGCCACCCGCAGGAGCCAGTCCTGGGCCAGACTCTGGACACTCGGTAGCTCACAGACACACGTGCATCCTATGCAGGAGTGCATAGCCTGGCAGGAAAGCCAGACACCTTAAGTCTTGGAGGGAGTGTTGCAGTAAGGTGCAGTGAGAGCTCAGGGCTGGGGGATGCTAACCTGGTTGGCTAGCAGGCAGGAAGTGGCTTCAGAACAGATATTTGGAGCAGGGGCTGAGTTAGCTAAGTGGGGGTCTGGGTTTGGATTGAAGGTCAGAGGTGAATGTTCAAAGCGGGAAGGCACAGGATGATTATGGAAGTGATGGTTCATTGCCGGAAACTTTGGGGCTGCAGCTCATAGCGCCGATCCCAGTGTGTACCTGAGCGGGGCAGGGAGTGTAAAACCCAGGCGGCTCTGGGTGGCACCGAAGAACCCACTGGCTGCACTGGAGCAACCATCCCGATGCCGGAACCTTCTGGTTGCCCTCCCCACTGCTCTAGAAACAATTCTTCAGCCTAGATTTGAGCTACTTAGGGCCTCCCAACTCTCTGCACCCCAGACAGGACAGCCTGAAACACACAAGCCACAAAACCAAAAAAGGCCTTTCTGCACATATTCTATCCTGTAGTGGGTCCCTTCAGCCTCTCCTAGCCCAAGCCCTGGCCAGACATCGTGGCTGCAGACACACACATTCCAGCCCATAATTGGCCTCCCCACAAAACACCAGATTCTTCCTGGGAAGTTCGCACAACATACCACCTTGGCTGTGGACCAGGAGAATCAGATCCAACGCCAAGCTGAGGTCCCACAGCCGTGCAGGCTCCCCAGTCCCATGGCTGCATGCCATCCTCACTCCCCTGCCTCCATCACCTCCCCTCCACTCAGGCAGCCACACTCAAACATCTCATGGCACAGCTAGGCCCAGAGAACCCACCTGCATCCTACAGACTCTTAGAACAAGCCCGGTTAGGGAGGCAGAGGCAAGAGCTGGATGTGCACTGGTGGGCATGTCTGCCCGGACTCCCCACTCCAAAGACCTAGACTGGGAAGCTAGCAGTTCCCCAGCCAGCCACAAGGGGGCCGAATGCTGAAGTACCACTTCTGAGTCTTGGAGACGATTCTGGGAGACCTCCAAGGTGCATAGATACCTGGGCAGGCAGGCACTCAATGCCCTGGTCACCTCCCACATTGACATGGCTCCTTTCTGTGAAAGGCTGACCACTCCAGAGCAGTTAGAGATGAACTTGAATCGGCATTTAACATCCCCAGGGGACTCGGGCACAGATGCAAATTCATTACTGAGTTTCCTACAAGCCTTCGCTTGGAATCCCTACCACTGCTGGCAGAGTCTGTCAGTTCAGTTCAGTCGCTCAGTTGTGTCCGACTCTTTGTGACCCCATGGACTGCAGCACGCCAGGCTTCCCGGTCCATCACCAACTCCCGGAGCTTGCTCAAACTCATGTCCATCGAGTCGGTGATGCCATCCAACCATCTCATCCTCTAGCATCCCCTTCTCCTCCCACCTTCAATCTTGCCCAGCATGAGTCAGTTTTTCAAATGAGTCAGTTCTTTGCATCAGGTGGCCAAAGTATTGGAGTTTCAGCCTCAGCATCAATCCTTCCAATGAATATTCAGGATTGATTTCCTTTCGGATGGACAGGTTGGATCTCCTTGCAGTCCAAGGGACTCTCAAGAGTCTTCTCCAACACCACAGTTCAAAAGCATCAATTCTTTGGTGCTCAGCTTTCTTTATAGTCCAACTGTCACATCCATACATGACTATTGGAAAAACCATAGCTTTGACTAGACAGACCTTTGTCGGCAAAGTAATGTCTCTGCTTTTTAATATGCTGTCTAGGTTGGTCATAACTTTTCTTCCAAGGAGCAAGTGTCTTTTAATTTCATGACTGCAGTCACCATCTATCTGCAGTGATTTCGAAACCCAAGAAAATAAAATCTGTCATTGTTTCCACTGTTTCCCCATATATTTGCCATGAAGTGACGGGTCCAGATGTCATGATCTTAGTTTTCTGAATGCTGAGTTTTAAGCCAAATTTTTCACTGTCTTCTTTCACTTTCATCAAGAAGCTCTTCAGTTCTTCTTCACTTCCTGCCATAAGAGTGGTGTCATCTGCATATATAAGAGTATTGATATTTCTCCTGGCAATCTTGATTCCAGCTTGTGCTTTATCCAGCCTGGCATTTCATGTGATGTACTCTGCATATAAGTTAAATAAGCAGGGTGACAATATACAGCTTTGACGTACTCCTTTCCCAATATCGAACCAGTCTATTGTTCCATGTCCAGTTCTAACTATTGCTTCTTGACCTGCAGACAGATTTCTCAAGAAGCAGGTAAGGTGGTCTGGTATTCCCATCTCTAAGAATTTTCCACAGTTTGTTGTGATCCACACAGTCAAAGGCTTTGGCGTAGTCAATAAAGCAGAAGTATATGTTTTCTGGAACTCTTGCTTTTTCTATGATCCAACAGATGTTGGCAATTTGATCTCTAGTTCCTCTGTCTTTGCAAAATCCAGCTTGAACATCTGGAAGTTCACAGTTCACATACTGTTGAAGCCTGGCTTGGAGAATTTTGAGCATTACTTTGCCAGTGTGTGAGATGAGTGCAATTGTGGGGTAGTTTGAACATTCTTTGGCTTTGCCTTTCTTTGGGATTGGAATGAAAACTGACCTTTTCCAGTCCTGTAGCCACTGCTGAGTTTTCCAAATTTGCTGACGTATGGAGTGCAGCACTTTCATAGCATCATAGAGGATTTGAAATAGCTCAACTGGAATTCCATCACCTCCACTAGCTTTGTTCATAGTGATGCTTCCTAAGGCCCACTTAACTTTGCATTCCAGGATGTCTGGCTCTAGGTGAATGATCACACCATTGTGGTTATCTGGGTCATGAAGATTTTTCTTCTGTGTATTCTTGTCACCTTTTCTTAATATCTTCTGCTTCTGTTAGGTCCATACCATTTCTGTCCTTTATTGTGCCCATCTTTGCATGAAAAGTTCCCTTGGTATATCTAATTTTCTTGAAGAGATCTCTAGTCTTTCCCATTCTGTTGTTTTCCTCTGTTTCTTTGCATTGATCTCTGAGGAAGGCTTTCTTATCTCTCTTGCTATTCTTTGGAACTCTGCATTCACATGGGTATATCTTTCCTTTTCTCCTTTGCTTTTTGCTTTTCTTCTTTTCTCAGCTATGTGTAAGGCCTTCTCAGACAACCATTTCGCCTTTTTGCATTTCTTTTTCTTGGGGATGGTCTTGATCACTGCCTCCTGTACAATGTTGCAAACCTCTGTCCATAGTTCTTCAGGCACTCTGTCTATCAGATCTAATCCCTTGAATCTATGTCTCACTTCAAGTGTGTAATCCTAAGGGGTTTGATTTAGGTCATACCTGAATGATCTACTGGTTTTCCCCACTCTCTTCAATTTAAGTTTGAATTTTGCAATAGGGAGCTTCCCTTTATCGAATGGTGGTTTTTCCTCCTGCCCTAGGGTAGGTGTAGCCAGCTGTGACCATAAGGAAGTTGTTGAACCACTCTATGCCTCAGTTTCTTTGGGAAATGAGTATAAAACAGTACCTACTCCCTAGGATTGCTATCAGGGTGTAAAGTGCTTACAACTGTCCTGGAACTTTAGCAAGTGATATACAAGTACTTACCAATGCTATTAAAGATCTGCCATCCCTTATCCACAATCCTGAAACAACAACAACAACAAAAAACCCACTTAAAATCCAAAGACTTTTTGTATGTTTGGTATTAGAAGTTATTTCCGTAAAACATGAGCTTAACTCTGTGAAGCTATTTGCACTTTTAAATTATCCTGCTTAGGGTGTATCTCCATATGTTACACTGCAGAGATGTTGATATGATTGATTATGGGGGGGTCCCACAGTGAGGGCTGAGGAGGAGTATGTTCTATATGATAAATGCACCATTTCTAGAATTGGAAGCATTCTGAATTCTGTAACACTTGTGGCCCCGGGGATTTCAGAGAACAGATTTTGGACCTATTACTATCTTTATCACTCAACGATTTGGGCGACCGGGACTTCATGCTGCCGGATGGCTCCAGGGAGGCTGACGGTGAGTCTGTGACAGGCTATGGTTGTCCCTACTCTGCAGAACCCCCAGTGCGCATCCTATACCCCCGAGACGAGGTGACCTTGGTGGCCGTGAGCTTGGAGTGTGTGGTGCTGATGTGTGAGCTGTCTCGGGAGGACGCCCCGGTGCGCTGGTACAAGGATGGGCTGGAGGTGGAGGAGAGCGAGGCCCTGGTGCTGGAGAACGATGGGCCCCGCCGTCGCCTGGTGCTGCCCGCCGCCCAGCCCCAGGATGGGGGCGAGTTCGTGTGCGACGCCGGAGACGACTCAGCCTTCTTCACTGTCACCGTCACAGGTGGGCAGGCTCTGAGACCCCCCCTGGGGAGGAAGAGAGGCAGGAGGCTGAGGGACAGACACCCACCCCTCCCAGTTCCTGCACCTTCGGGGCCCCCACATGCCACACACAGCTTTCCCCCTGTCCAGCCTGCCCTCCTCTCCCAGCCTCCTTATTCTCAGCCATCAGAGAGCCCTGAGTTGCCTTAACCAGGTTGGGACAGTGGCCAGAGGCCTGGTGGAGAGAGCCTAGCAATCAGGAGTGCTCATTCATTCTTGTATTCAACAAACACTGATCTGCTTAGCACTGTTCTGTTGCTGACGGATTCAGTAATGAAACAAGGAGAGAAAACCTGTCTTTATGGAGCTTGCCTTCTTGTGAGAGCAGACAGACAGCAAATAAGGGAAACAGGTGGTTTTTCAGTTGGTGATCAGGTCATTGGGGCAAAGCAGGGAAAAGAGACAGGAAATGGGGTGTAGGGAGGGCTGTGCTTTGGGGTTAGATAGATCTGTGAGTGTGGGTCTACCTCTTTCTGTCCATGCAACCCTGGGCAAGTCAGTTCCCTGTAAAGAGGCTTCAGGTCCTCATCTATAAAGTGAAGCCAGCAATAGGGAGTGTCAGGAGTAGCTGAGAAAAGAACTGTAGTGTCCTTAGCATGACACCTGGCACACGTAAGTGCCCATGGATTGTGGGTGGTACCATTTCCCAAGAGCTGCTCTGCAAAGAGAGAGGATTGGGAAGCCAGTGGTCGGGCCGGTAGAGGCCGAGCCCACCTGCCTCTCTCTCTGTTCACCCACCAGCCCCTCCAGAGAGGATTGTGCACCCAGCAGCCCGCTCCCTGGACCTGCAGTTCAGGGCTCCAGGGCGCGTGGAGCTGCGCTGCGAGGTGGCCCCGGCTGGGTCCCAGGTGCGCTGGTACAAGGATGGGCTGGAGGTGGAAGCATCGGATGCCCTGCAGCTGGGGGCCGAGGGGCCCACCCGCACCCTGACCTTGCCTCATGCCCAGTCGGAGGACGCTGGGGAGTATGTGTGTGAGACTCGCGATGAAGCCGTCACCTTCAACGTCAGCCTGGCTGGTGGGTGCTCCTGGCCAGCCCGGGTCTGGGAGGCGGGGGCGGGGGGCATCACTGAGCTGACACACCCGCTCTCTGTCCAGAGCCCCCTGTCCAGTTCCTTGCCCCAGAGGCAGCCCCTGGCCCGCTCTGCGTGGCCCCTGGGGAGCCGGTGGTGCTGAGCTGTGAACTGTCCAGAGCTGGTGCCCTGGTCTTCTGGAGCCATAACGGGAAGCCGGTGCAGGCAGGCGAGGGTCTGGAGCTCCGAGCCGAAGGACCCCGCCGCGTCCTCTGCATCCGGGCTGCAGACCCGGCCCACACAGGCCTCTACACCTGCCAGTGTGGGGCAGTACCGGGGGCCCCCAGCCTCAGCTTCACCGTCCAAGTGGCTGGTGAGTATAGCCCCGGGCAGGAAACCTGAGAGTCTCTCCCCTAAACCCTCGAGTCTTCCCCCTCTCTAGTGCATCCAGCTCCCACCCCTGCCCCACGGCTCTCAGTCCCTCTCCCCATCTGGCCTCCCACCACCCTCCTCCCCAGCCCTTGAGCCATTCCCTCCCAATGACCCTCAGCCCTGACCCTACAGAGCCCCCCATGCGGGTGGTGGCCCCTGAGGCAGCCCAGACGAGGGTTCGCAGCACCCCAGGCGGGGATCTAGAGCTGGCCGTGCGCCTCTCCGGGCCGGGGGGCCCTGTGCGCTGGTACAAGGACGGGGAGCGCCTGGCCAGCCAGGGGCGGGTGCAGCTGGAGCAGGACGGGGCGAGGCAGGTGCTGCGGGTGCGGGGGGCACGGAGCAGGGACGCTGGGGAGTACCTGTGCGACACGCCCCAGGACAGCCGCATCTTCCTCGTCAGCGTGGAAGGTAACAGTGCCCCCCTCACGCCCCTGGGGCCCCGGCCTCCCACCAAGGGCCTCACGCCCACCATTCACCCCCACCCACCTCGCTGCCCACCAATGCATGCACAGCTATCCCGTGGATGAGGGCTCAGGGCTCCCCTTTCCAGGCATCCTCAAAGAGCAGGGACAGAGGGCTCTGGAGTCAACCCCCCAGGTTCTGATCTCGAATCTCCTTCCCAGTAGTTGTCTAACACACTGGCTAGTTACTTAAACTGTCTGAGCCCCGGGTCCCAAGGGGGAGGATAGTGTTTGTCCTATAGGGCTGTTGTGACAGTTACATAAGATCAGCAGGGTTCGTCCTAAACAATTTGTTACTATTAGGGAGTCAGAGAGGTGGGTGCCTGGCCAGCATGAAGACGAGGTGGTGAGGAGTGGCAGGCAGGGAGTTGACATCTTGTCCTTTAAAACAGCTCATGACTGACACACAGCTGGTCCTCGGGAAGATTCTGTTTAATAACTGGGGGATGAGAGCTTGTTACTGGGGATGAGAGGGCTTGTTACTGGGGATGAGGAGGGGCTGAGGAGGAGGGCAGTAGAAAGACCCAGCCCACCTCACTGTCTGATCCTGTCCCCCCCACCTAGAACCCCCGATGGTGAAGCTGGTCTCAGAGCTGACGCCGCTCACTGTCCACGAGGGGGATGACGCCACGTTCCGGTGTGAAGTCTCCCCGCCAGACGCTGACATCACTTGGCTGCGCAATGGGGTCGTTGTCACGCCAGGGCCCCAGCTAGAAACGACCCAGAATGGGTCAAGCCACACACTGACCGTACGAAGCTGCCGGCTCGAGGATGCGGGGACTGTGACTGCCCGGGCTGGGGGCACGTCCACGAGTGCCCGGCTGCACGTTCGAGGTTCGGTCCTGGTGGAGACGAAACAAGTTCTGTTCCCGAACCTGTTCTCCCAGCCCCGGCCCTGGCAGGAGACCAGTCCCTGAGAAGGGGGAGCCAGGGTTCGGCCCACCAGGCTCCATGGTCCGCTCTCTCTTCCTCCCCAGAAACGGAGCTGCTGTTCCTGCGGCGGCTGCAGGACGTGCGGGCAGAGGAAGGCCAGGATGTGTGCCTCGAAGTGGAGACCGGCCGCGTGGGGGCGGCAGGGGCCGTGCGCTGGGTGCGAGGTGGGGCGCCCCTGCCCCCTGACTCCCGCCTGTCCACAGCCCAGGACGGCCACGTCTACCGCCTCTTCATCCACGGCGTCGTGCTGGCCGACCAGGGCACCTACGGCTGCGAGAGCCATCACGACCGCACCCTGGCCCGGCTCAGCGTGAGGCGTGAGTGCCCCGTCTTCTCCTGACGCCTCCCTTTCCCCGCGGTGCAGCCTCTCCTGGCTGGCCCAGGGCCCCTCAGACCGCCCCCAACACACACCAAAGTGCCCCTCGCCAGCAAGGCAGGTCAGCCTTGGCTGACCCCCAGGAGCGTGACCCAAAGCAGCCTGCCCAAAACAAAACTTTTCTTTTTCTACTGTTTTCTATTTACCGTAGAAGTCCCTGTGGATTTTGGTTTCCATTTCATATGTCCAAGTTGGCTTTGCTGTAAACATAACTATTATACTCCAGAAAGACTTGCCATATTTATCCTTCAGTCACCTGCCCCAGGATATACAAGCCCATCTGAAAAGCAGGGGTGATTGGCAGTAGCACCCCCCCACCCCCAAGATGGAGCCCTCTATCAACTGTATGGCCTCAGGCAAATTATTTAACTTCTCTGAGCCAAGTTTTCTCTAAAAAAGGGTCTTTGAGAACCTTAATCGGGATAATATGAGAAATACCCACACAGAACTTGGTAAATGGTTGTTGGTGGTAATGTGTATTCTTTTCTGATTTATTTCATTCATTCAGTCACAACAAACCCATGTCTCACGGCTATTAACATGTCTAACGACATTGTACAGTTGGGGAAACTGAGGCCCAGGGAGTTCAAGCAGTATGCCAAAGGTTACATAGCAAACTACGTGGCAGATTTGGGATCTAGTCCTGATGTGTCTGACTTTAAATTCTTGTCACAGTACCCCTCACCCCAACTCCTCACCCATCCCCACCACACATCACCCCTTTCGTGTGTCCCCTCTCCTAACCCCAGTAAGCCCCTCTCTCCACCCACATCTGGCTGGTTTCACTCCCTTCTTCCTGCTCCCTGGTTCTGAACTTTGTTCTTAGGGCGTTACTAGATTAGGGGTTAGAGGCAGACAGAGCCAAGGGGTGTGTGGGGCTCCCAAAAGCCCTGCCCAGATGTGGAGGCCTCATTTTCCCCCTCTTTCCCCATCTCCCCCCACTAGCAAAGCAGCTAAGGGTGCTTCGACCTCTGGAGGATGTGACCGTCATCGAGGGGGGCAGTGCTACCTTCCAGCTGGAGCTGTCCCAGGAGGGGGTGACTGGGGAATGGGCCCGGGGTGGAGTCCGGCTGCAGCCGGGGCCCAAGTGCCAAATTCAGGCCGAGGGCCACGCTCACCACCTGGTCCTCAGTGGCCTGGGCCTGGCCGACTCGGGCTGCGTCTCCTTCACTGCGGATGCGCTGCGCTGCGCAGCCAGACTCACCGTGAGAGGTGTGGCCTCTAGGACTGCTGCCTGCCTGCTGACTGCTCCGGTGTGATTCTGCTGACCCCACTACCCGTGTGGCCCCCACTGACCCTCCCAGAGTGTGACGCCCTGACTCGCCACATCCCTGGTGACTGCCTTGCCTGTGTGGGCCCACTAGCCACCACTGCCTGCTGCAGCTCTGCCTGCCTGCCTGAGTGTGGTCCTCTAATCACTAAGCCTCAACAGTGCCAAAGAGTGACTCCATGGGCAACTCTGCTTCAGTGACCCCTTCTCTTGCTTACAGCCCTGGTGTGTTCCCCACTGACCACATCTACTCTGGGGTCCCCCCAGTGCTCCTCTGAACCCCTGGTGTCCCTCACTGGCCAGGGTCTCCTGTCCATTCCAGCCAGTGTGACTATGCCTGCCTATGGGTGACTGCAGTGGCATCTCTGCTCCAGTCTCTCCCATGCCCCTCTGGCCCCACCATGTCCCCCACTGACCACTCCCGGCTGGGGGGTGACCCATCCCTGGCTGGCCATTCCTGCCCTGTTGACCCCTCTGATCTCACTGTGTCCCCCACTGACCAGCATCCCCTTTGGACCCCTTGTCCCAGCATGCCCCCCACTCACCAGTGGCCTCTGTTGATCTAGACAAGTGACCTTGTCTAAATGTGCCCATAAGTGACCCTTGTGTCCAAGTGCGTCCTCCTTCTCCCACTCCCAGAGGCCCCAGTGACCATTGTGCGGGGGCTCCAGGACCTTGAAGTGACCGAGGGCGACACAGCTACGTTCGAGTGCGCACTTTCCCAGGCCTTGGCTGATGTCACCTGGGAGAAGGTCAGAGCCCAGCCCAAGCCCAACCCACCTCAGCATCATGAGAGCAGTAACAATGCCCCAACAGAAAGAACTACTACTCAGTAAGCCATGTGCCTGGCATGTGCTAAGGTTTACTTTACATTTAAGCCTCTAACCTTATAGCAGCCCAATGAGGCAGGTCTTATGATCTCCTCGTTATCTCTAAGGAGACTGATGTTCAGTGGAGTGAAGTATTGCCCCAGGCAGACATAGAGTTCACATTTGAATCCAGGTTTCCTGATTCCAGAATCCACACACATGGCTGACATGATTGGTACATGACTCTCAGCTTCCCGCGTCGTGGCGCCCTTTCTCAGACCAAATGTCCCCAAAGGGTGACGCCGTCCCAATGAGACCCCTGGCGGGGCCCAGAAGGCACGGGAGGCCCCTACCCCGTAGCATAAGCGTGCCTCGAAAGTGTTTGGTATCAACAGAGGGCGCCGCCGCCTACCAGGGCCGGGGCCGCTTGTGCCCGGCCGAGTTTTCACCGCTACCCTTTGCAACCCCCGCCCCTAGGATGGGCAGCCGCTCACCCCCAGCTCTCGGCTCAGGGTCCAGGCCCTCGGCACGCGCCGCCTTCTCCAGCTGCGGCGCTGCAGCCCCTTGGATGCAGGGACCTATAGCTGCGTGGTGGGGATGGCCCGAGCTGGGCCCGTTCACCTAGTGGTGCACGGTGGGTACCAGGTGCTGCCCGGGCCGGGCGCTACTGTGGGTGCCGGGGCTGCGGACCAGACTTGCCCCGGGGACTTGCGACGCGTCTTCTAGGGAGGGGGCGTGGCATGGGCGGGGCCTTGTACCGCCCTCCTCACGCCCCCTGGCTCCGCCCCAGAACGCAAGGTGTCTGTCCTCTCTGAGCTGAGGTCCGTGAGCGCCCGCGAAGGCGACGGAGCCACGTTCGAGTGCACCGTGTCGGAGGTCGAGACAGCTGGGAGCTGGGAGCTCGGAGGCCGCCTGCTGAGACCCGGAGGCCGCGTCCGCATCCGACAGGAAGGTCTGCAGACTCTACCCACTCTGGCCCCCTTGCTGCCCCACCCCCCGGCTCATACAGACCCCGCCCTAAGGTCCACCTCCAGCTTCGAGGAGTCCCGCCCCGCGGCCCCAGAAGCTGTCTCTCCGCCTCTCCCTGACCTCCAGCTCAGGAGTCCTGGGTCCTGGACCGCCCCCTCTTCCCCCTCGGCATCCCCGTTCCTCCCCGGGACCTACTCTGGCCCCATCTTCATGCCCCCACCCTCCCCAGAGGCCGCTCCGGCCTCGCTAGCGCCTCCTATACCCCCAGGGAAGAAACACATTCTGGTGCTGAGCGAACTGCGCGCAGAGGACGCTGGTGAGGTCCGCTTCCAGGCGGGACCCGCCCAGTCCGTGGCTCAACTGGAGGTGGAGGGTAAGAACTGGGGCAGGGACGACCTGGAGTGAACACGGTTTCCCCCGGAACTGGCAGGCTGGCGATTGGTCCGAGGAAACCTGCCTCCCCACCCCTTCCTCGAGAGACTCTCCGGGGGCGGGTCACAGAGGGCAGTGCGTTTCCTGGGGAAGAGGAGACTTTGCGTTGAGGGTAGAGAGAAAAGGGCTGGTGGCATAGAGATCTAAGATCAGGAATGGAGGCCAGAGCGGGAGGGAAGATGCGTCTCTCCTGGGGTCCTGCGTGTCCCTATTAACTTAATAAGCCCTCGTTCTCCACCCTCAGCACTGCCTCTGCAGATGCACCGCCGGCCCCCTCGCGAGAAGACGGTTCTGGTCGGTCGCCGGGCCGTGCTGGAGGTGACAGTGTCCCGGCCGGGGGGTCAAGTGTGCTGGCTGCGGGAAGGGGCCGAGCTGTGCCCAGGGGACAAGTATCAGCTGCGCAGCCACGGCCCCACCCACAGCCTGGTCATCCATGACGTTCGACCTGAGGATCAGGGCACCTACTGCTGCCAGGCCGGCCAAGACAGCGCCTACACACGGCTGCTGGTAGAGGGTGAGTAAAGCTGACTGGGCACAGGTCAATGAGGTGAGCCGGCTGGCCAGGGGGCTCCTAGGAGCTGGTGGGCTGAGACACACACCTCCTGCAGGTCTCCCAGGACTTGGGATGGCCAGCTGGTTCTGAGATGTGTTGGAGGTGGGGAGTGGGGAGGCAGGAGATCACACAGCCAAGGCTGAGAGGAAGCTCTAGGGTGTCAACAGGAACCACTTGGTTCAGGGCAGCTGTTCCCACCTTGCTACATCCCTCCCTTCCTGTCTGAGCTTCTCCTCCCTCCCTCCCGCCTCTGGACCACACTCATCTCTCCCAAACACTCCCATTTGTACCCAAGTTCCTCTCCCTCCAACCTGCTGGCCCCAGGTCTGTGCCCCCCACCTGTCCCTCATCCTCTCCTGCTCTCTGCCCATCTCAGCGAGTTCCACCTTGGCCTGGGCAGAGGGCTTCTGAGCTAGTCCCATCTCTTTCCTCTTCCACATAGGAGATGCCCCACTCTCCACCTGAATTCCTGCGTTCCCTTCAGATGCCTGCCTTGCCCCACCTCTTACTGACCGCCCGCACTCTCCTGCTTCAGCCCTGACAGGCCTAGAAGGGGTGGGTCAGAGGGTGAGGGCCCAGTTCTTCCTGTGTGGGTACCGAGGCTCTGCCAGGGGAGAGGAATGTGGTAACCACTGTCTCCCCAGCCCCACTCACAGTCATTCCTCTGCAGGTAGCTAGGAGGCCAGAACCAGGCCAGGCAGGTGCCCTCAGATAGCCTGGAGGGCACATGCCCTTACCCTGGGAGGAGGTAGGGAGGGAGGGGACCCAAGGTGTTGGGAGACAATAAAAAAGGTACAGCTCCTTTCCTGGCTCTCTTTGTGACATGGGAGGACAGAACTCGCCTGGAGCCCCCGCAGAATGAGTGACGCAGGGGACCAAAGGCTGCAATGCTTCCATCTTGGCTCCTAGAAGTGCCAGCCACCAAAGACCACCACTCCTGGCAGAAGCCGCACAGTTTGGCACATTTATAAAAGATGTAAAACAGGGTGGGGTGGGAGGAGACAGAAGCATGAGGTGTCCAGGGTGGCATGACAGACACCGGACATGCACTGCGCACTTAAGCCCCCTCCTCCAAGCCCCCTTCCCAGACCCAGCCCCGAGCAGCACCGCCCACCCCATCCCCTGCCACTCCCCTCAGGCTGGTGACTTGCAGAGGACAGGAGATCAGAGTGAGGACCACTGCAGTCTGCCCCACAGACAAGGACAAGAAGCTTAGATGAGTCTGGCTGAGAGGTGAAGGTGATGGGGGAGAAAGGCAGACTTCCTCCACTTAGACATGCAGGAGAGTGGCCCATGGGACCCCAGCAGTGGGCGAGGAGGTGGGGCCACCCTTGGAGAAGCCCTACCAATCAGAAATCTAAGGCAAGGGTCCCAGGGTCCCCTCCAAGCCCACCGCTCCACACACACACACACAGGCGACACTCACAACCCTGAGCACAGCCCAGCGGGGCTCACACTCGCGTCCCTTAAGAGCTCCCGGGGAGCTTGGGAAGGGGCTCTCCCCTCAGGCCAGGCCAAGCCTGAGCCAAGTCCTGCCATCTGGTGGCCAAGCCATCCCTCTCCAGGGTGGGAAAAGGAACAGCCAAAGGGCACAAGGCCAGGTGGCTGAGCCTTGGCCCAGCAGGCCTCCCCGAGCTGGCAGAGCTGGTGACCGATGAGTGTAGGCGGGCAGGAGCAGCTGGACTGCTATACCCGCACGGGAGGCCCAGAGCAGGCCGTCAGCGGGCCCCGGGACCCGTACTCATAGTCCGCATCTGTGGGCGAGGCCATGAAGGAGCTCAGAGAGCTCCCGGTCTGCCGATCCCGGAAGCTCTGGATGTAACTCTGTGGGAGAGGAGAAACAGGTGTGAGGGTGCCACTGCAGACCCCTGCCCTGAAAGCCACCCAGGCAGACGGCCTCAGCCTGAGCCATCACAAGCCTGGGACCCATCCCGGTCCTCTGCCAGCCTGGGACCTAACCACCCCCAGAGTCCATGGCCCTGAAACCCTTCCCTGTACCATGCCTCATTAAAATCCACACTCAGGACACCTCTCCCCCACCCATCAGGCCCCTAAGTAGTGGACAAGCCCTAGGCCTTCTAGGTGGTGACCAGCCCTGGGGAAGGCCAAGTCCTGCTTGGACAGAGTCCAACACCCCCTTCTCCCCACTTGGGCTGGAGGGAAGGGCTCGGGGTGCTCACCGGGGAGAGGATGTCTCCATTGAAGCGCTTGATGGGCACTGGCCTACGCCGATAAGCAGGGTCAGGGGGCCCAGGCCTCGGAGGAGCCCGAGAGCCTCTGGGGAGAGCCCTTGGGGGTCTCTTTTTGCGCCGCTTCTCCTTGCGTTCTTCTTGCTGCCGAATCCGCATCAGCTGCACACGTCGGCGCTGCCGGCTGATGACCACTGAGAAGGGTGGGGAAGAGCAGGCTCTCAGCGGCCCACGTACCTCATCTCGCCCAAGCATCCCTGCCCCTTCCTACCTGGGGACACCAGGCCCCCAGATTCCCCTGGTCTGAAACCTCTCCTCCTTTACTCTCCTGGTCTTCCACTTGCCAGATAGGACCTCCCACAGGTCTTTTCTTCCCAAGGCCTTTAGGGAAGATTCCTAGGCTCTAGGTACCTCTTCCAGGCTGCTACCCTACCTCTCCCCTAATCTGGAGCCATAGGTGACTCACCTAGATTGGCCATCATCATCTCTAAACTGGCCAACTAAGCTGCCTCCCCACTGGCTTCCCTTCTACACTTGCCTTCCCTGATGCTTTCTGCACTCAGCAGCCAGAAAATAATTAGTTTATATCCTTCCTGATAAACTTCCAATGGCATTGCACCAGCCCTCTAATAAAATCCGGAGTCCTCATCATGGCCCACTGTGGCCACATAGTCGCCCCCCTTACCCCCCAACTCCCACCCCACCTCCTCACCAGGCCAAGCTCATTCCCTCTCAGGCCTTCACCCTTGCTCTTCCCTCTTCTCTAGGTCTTTGCATGGCTGGTCCCTTATCCTTCAGGTCTCTGCTTAAATGTCACCTCTTCCATGTGACACCCCTCCTTGGCCACCCCATCCATATGTCACATTACCCTGCACACCTCTTTCATATCAGTCCACACAATGGGAATTATCTCGTTAGTCTGCCTGTCTGTTGTCTGTCTCCCTCACCCTGAATGTAACCCTGGAAGGATGGGGGCGTTTTCCGTTTTTGTCTCTGTTGCATCCCCAGATGTCTGGAAGGGGCTTGGCACAGAGCCGCTGTCCCATCTGTTGTTGTGGCATGGACGGTGGCACTGAGGTCCTGCTCTCCCAGACCCTGAGCCAGTCTGCTCTCTGTAACTCAACTGAGGCCTTCTGCTGCTGGTGCCTACAGCTCCGTTCCCCATCCACAACAGCTTAGACCTCCCCTACCCAACCACCCATCTCTGTCATGCCCACCCTGGCCTGTACCCTCTCACCTTCCGTGTGGGAATCCCGCTCGGCTGTCACCCGCCACTGCACCAGAACGCCCATGAGGCTGAGCAGGGGCCACAGTGCCAGCAAGGCCCAGCTCCGCCAGCAGAGCGGGGGTACGGGGGCGGCCCGCAGACGCTCCACCGCGTAGCGCGCCAGCAGCAGCAGCTCGGCAAAGTAGTCAGCAGCCGTGGCGATGAGTGCGGCACCGGTCACCGCGGTGGCCAGGGTGGTGAGCGGGCGGGGCCAGCGCAGAGTGAGCAGGGCGCAGAGCAGGCCACCCCCCAGCAGCAGCCCCAGGGGGCCCCAGACAGAGCCCGGCTGGTAGTAGGGTGCAGAGCCCAGCAGGGCAGCAGCGGCAAGCAGAAGGCCAAGCAGCAGGCCCACCAGGAAGAGGCCCACGCTGCGCACCAGCATGGCCACCAGCCCGCAGAGCAGCCCAATGCCTAGCGCAATGCCTGCGCTTGCCCCGGCACTCAGCTGCGTCTCCAGCACCCGCTCTCGGTAGCACAGCAGGAAGATGACCACCGAGCCAAACAGCAACCCGGTGAGAAAGAGTACTGCCTTGAAGCAACGGTAACCTGGAGGGAAACAGGGGCTAGTGAGAGGCCAAAACAAGGTCACAGGGCTGGAGGTAGGAGGTCAGAGGGGTCAAGAACAAGGAATCACAGGGGAACCAGAGGCAGGACACTAAGCTCAGAGAACTGGGGGTCCCTGGGGTCCTGAGCGCAACAGTGAAGGGACTACTGGGGTCAAAGAAGGTCAGAGAGGTAGGTCATTGGGAGTCTGTGGGAAACAGACAGTCATTAAAAGGAATGTTGGGTTTTTGAGATAGAGATAGATCACTGTATCCGTTACAGAGTCACTGGGGTTTTGGGGATCATAGAGGTCAGGGAGAGAGGTTACTGGGGTCACAGATAGATGACCAATAAAATCCCTGGTCCTTAGGGTGGGATTATTCAGAGAGATGAGGTATTTGGAAGTCAGAAAGAACATGAGAGATGAGGTCACACAGGTTCAGAAAGATGAAGCCTTTTAAGGTCAAGGGAATTGACAGATGTGGTATCACTGAGCGTATTAAAGGGTTTTTGAGAGAGGGTAATAATATTGAAGCCAGAAAATGTAAACATTGAGATCATAGTGGGGGCAAACAGACAATGGGGTCATAGGGATTCCCCTGTGTTAGGAGTAATAGAGAGTCAGATGGATGGAAGGTAATGAGATAGCTTGGTGGGGGGGGGGGGGGGGGCGTCAATAGGGCTCACAAGGAGCCATAGGGAGTTGAAGAGGATTATAGGGCAAATAGTGGTGTGGAGTTTCAGAAAAATGGAGGTTATAAGGCCATTAGGCCCAGAAAGGGTACCTGGAAGTGTGAGGGACCCTGAAAAGCTGAGAAGATGGAAGTCAGAGATGGGGGTGAAATGGTCAGGGAGAGCCAAAGAGAAAGGTTATAAAAAGGAGAATCAGTGCTAGGAATGAGAGGAAGCACTGGAGTCCAGGAGGTTCTAGGATCAGGAAAAGGAGTAGGGCAGGCACAATGGCTCAAAGGGTCCAAGAGCCTGAGAGTGGGCGCCTCCAAGAGCCACAGGGCAGGGAAGACCAGGAGAGGGATCGGCAGGCTGCACTGAGCAACTGTAGAGGGGTTGGGTATAAATAATGGAGGGGGTGAGGTGACACAGACTCCTTGGAGACCCAGAATGTGTCCTGAACCTATAGAAGGGCTCTTCCTCCTGCCCACTCTGCAATTGTTCAGCCCAGAGTTTGGAGGTGGAAGGAGAGGGACCATCTGGCTTCCATGCCTGCCTACTACCCAGCCATTCCAGGGGGAGGTGTAAAGGCTGCAGAACATAAGTCCTGCCCTATTTCTGCCCAACCTGGAACTCAGACCTCCAACCTTCCTTTGCACTTCATCCAGCCACCTGTAATGCTCTGCCTGGAGGCTTTCCCTGGATGCTCAGCCAATAAACCTCACTTCCCTATCTGAAGTTCTGTACTTCTTGCTGTAGTCACTGGGCACCTACTCCACTAGACCATCTGGCACTTTGGTGCAAATTAGAAAAAGTTGTGCCTTCCTCTAGGCAAAGCAGCCTTGCACCAAGCTCTAGAGTTTGGCAAGTAGAACACGGTCTGGATTTCAGCCCCCACTTGCCTATCCAACCGAACTCCCTTGTGTCCTGGACAACCATTCACAGTAGCACTGATTACTGGAGCTTTCCTTATACACATATCCCCATGTATGTGATCACCATTTAGCTCCCTCTAACATGTATCATAGGTATGAATGTGCCCGAAGTCTCTCCCTCATTAGACATTATACCCTGTGGTAAGGGAGCATGTTAACTCACCCTTCTAAATGTTTTCGGTGCCCACCTAGCATAGTGACCCAAACACATCTTCACCACAATAACTATTATTTATTGAGTGCTTATTAATTTTCACAGCAACCTCATGTGAGACAAATATCATTGTTTCCACTGTTCAGATGAGAAATCTGAGGCTTAGAAAGGTTAATGTGCCCAAGGCATCGTAATTAGTAAAGTGCAGAACCACGTTCAAATCCAAGCATGCCTAATTCAAAACCTGTGTTCTCTAGGATCTAGAGTCTAAATTATCTACAAACATGTACGGGATGAAAAAAGAGAAAAGAAAGATAGTTCATGGTAAAGTTCCAAAGAAGGTTTGAGATGCCTCAGAAAAATAACTTGGGGAACCAGCGTGGCGGGGGGGGGGGGGGGGTGGAGCAAGTGAGGAATGAGATGGGGTCTTACCGAAGAAGCAGTAGACGACTCCAAACAGACAGCACATGATGCAAACGAGGGCCGGCAGTGCCTCGTACCTGCGCTCCAGGGGCTGTTCACAGGGTGCTCCCCAGAAGGCATCATCTGGCTCTGGGGGCAGCAGCTGGAACCGAAGTGTTGCCACAGTGCCCGGCATAGTGCTGGGAACAGAAGGGAGTCACCCTCCCACGTCAGCCTGACAGAGAGGAAGTTGGGGGTCAAGGAGGAGTCCTGGGTCTCCACCAGGATGAGGGTGAGATGGGAGTGGAGAACTAGGCAAAGATACAGTGGACAAAGGAGTGGTGCCCACATTACACAGCTCTGGAAGCATCCCTGAAGTAAGGGACAAAAGACAAAAGAGGGAAAGAGTGCCTGGCTAGAGGGAGCTGGGATGAAGAAGTTAAAAGGGGGACTGAGTTGGGGGGAGATGAGGGCAGTGTGCTGCCGGTGAGAAGGCAGCCAGGAGACTGGTCTGTGGGCGGCTAAATCTGGGATTATCCAAGATCTACCTGGGCTGGAGGCGACCTGAGCTTCTGAGCGAAAGAGGCTGTGCAGGGACCGGAGGGGCCGCGGTCGCCAGGCGCCAGAGCCTCCAGCTGACTGGGGTCCGGTAAAAGTCCGCGGTGAGGGGAAAGGGGCTGCTGGGCCGGAGGGATCGGTCCCTGCGCGGCGGCGACGCCGCTCCGCCTCCAACACCGGCTGGCACTCCAGTCCCGCGACGTCCGGGGACTTAGGTTGGGCCTGGGGAAGGGAAAGAAGCAGGAGCAGGGGCTCGGGCTGCCCCAGAGCCGCGGCCCCATGCCCTGAGCCCGCCCGCGGCCTTTGGTGCTGATGGACAGCTCCGGCCTCTGCTCCTTACGTCACTCAGGGCGCACCATCCAGGCAGGGGCGGGCTGCTTCTGACGTCACACGGGACGCACCAACCACGCCGGGGGGGAGGTAAGGGACTCCGCCCCCGACGTCTGCCTCTCCCGCACTGAGGAGGGGGCACTTCCGGGGGTCCTTCCCCTTTAACCTCCCCCTTCTCCTCCCTCTCCGGTAGCTGGAGCCCGAGACCCCACCCCGGGGGCGGGGCCCTTCCAGTGACACGTCGGACAGCGGCGGCCTTGGCGGAGGCTCCCGCGCCCAGCGCCGGGACCCTACGCGGTACCGAGCGGCAGCTGGAGGGGCACAGGAACGCGGCGCAGGGCATTCCGCTCCGGCGGCTGGCCTTGCTCGGCGGGGAGGGAGGGGACCCGCCCGCTTGGCTCAGGACCTCCGGATCCGCCCCCTCCCCGGTCCCGCCCCCTCGAAGCCTCCTTTTGCTGCTCTGGGGCTGCTCCAGGGCTGGGGGCCCGCGGTCCGGGCGCCATGCGGGCATCGCTGCTGTTGTCGGTGCTGAGGCCCGCGGGGCCCGTGGCTGTGGGTATCTCTTTGGGCTTCACTCTGAGCCTACTCAGCGTCACCTGGGTGGAGGAGCCTTGCGGCCCAGGGCCGCCCCAGCCCGGAGATTCTGAGCTGCCTCCGCGCGGCAACACCAATGCGGCGCGCCGGCCCAACTCGGTGCAGCCCGGAGCGGAGCGCGAGAGGCCCGGGAACGGTGCAGGAGCCGGGGAGAACTGGGAGCCGCGTGTCTTGCCCTACCACCCTGCACAGCCTGGCCAGGCCGCCAAAAAGGCCGTCAGGTAGGGATTGGACCCGCCAGCCCCACCCCCTGGGAACCGGCTGGGATGGGTGCGCAGCGGACGCCGCCTGGGGCTGGGTCAGGCCCCGGAAGGAAGGGTCTGACAAGCCAGGAAGTCTTTGGGCCCCGATCATTTCCGATGGCCCTGGGAAGGTTTGGAGGCCCCATCCAGACCTGGGCAGAACTCACTCGCCTCTGACCTAAACCTGCTTGAACCCCTGGACCCTCAAAGCTCTTCAGAGCTCACTGACTGGGTGTTAGGTTTAGAGAAATGACTAGTATATAGAGTGGGTGCATTGAGAGAGGGAAAGAGAAAAGAGAGAACTAGGATTTACCTATGGGGGCTTCCCTGGTAGCTCATCAGTAAGAGAATTCGCCTGCCAATGCAGGAGACCTGGATTTGATCCCTGGGTCAGGAAGATCCCCTAGAGAAGGCAATGGCAACCCACTCCAATATTCTTGCCTGGGAAATCCCATGACAGAAGAGCCTGGTGGGTTATAGGGGGTCATAAAGAGTCAGATGTGACTTACTGACTAAACAACAACAAGGATTTGCCTGTATCTCCTGTTCCTGGGTGGGCACCTGGGAAAGAGGGAGGTTTGTGGGGAAAGGATGATGTATCCATCCCATTAGTGCCTCTGCCTATGAGTTGAAATAATTTCTCCTAAGTAACACTGAGTTCAAATTCCAGTTCTTCAGCTTACCTTCTATATTATGGAAGGTAAGTTCCTGGAACCCCTGAGCCCCCCCAAACACATTCACTATGCCTCAGTGTCATCTACCCCTTTCCATCGTTTCTGTGATGTATTTGTGGTATAATGGCATATTATTTAGAAATAAGTATGTACATGATGTGTGGAGTACCTGTGTGCCAAGAATTTGGCTAAGTGCTTTAAAGAGATACAATCATCCCATTTTACAGATGAGGCTACCGAAGGTTTAGGTGGGTTAAATAACTCGCTCAAAGACTCAACTACTAAATAACAAAACGGAGAATCAGACCCATAATATATCTCTCATATCTGCATGGATAATACTATCTCCCTTTTAAAAGCATTTGGGTAGGTAGGGTCAACAATTCCCTTAAATCCTCGTGATCCCTGGAACAGAGTTATTCTGTCATAAACGAGGAAACAGGCCCAACGAGGACATGATCTGCTGAAGCCTACGTATGCCACCCTCTGCCTGGCCTACTTGTGTTTTTTATAACCTTGTGCCATCTTTCCCCCACCCCCAGGACTCGCTACATCAGCACGGAGCTGGGCATCAGGCAGAAGTTGCTCGTGGCGGTGCTGACCTCACAGGCCACGTTGCCTACGCTGGGCGTGGCCGTGAACCGCACGCTGGGGCACAGGCTGGAGCGTGTGGTGTTCCTGACAGGCTCGAGGGGCCGCCGGGCACCACCAGGTATGGCCGTGGTGACGCTAGGCGAGGAGCGGCCCATTGGGCACCTGCACCTGGCACTGCGCCACCTGCTGGAACAGCACGGCGACGACTTCGACTGGTTCTTCCTAGTACCCGATGCCACCTACACCGAGGCACACGGACTGGCTCGCCTAGTCGGCCGTCTCAGCCTGGCAGCTGCTGCCCACCTCTATCTGGGCCGGCCCCAGGACTTCATCGGTGGAGAGCCTGCCCCAGGCCGCTACTGCCACGGGGGTTTTGGGGTGCTGCTGTCGCGCACACTGCTGCAGCAGCTGCGCCCCCACCTGGAAGCCTGTCGCAATGACATCGTCAGTGCGCGCCCGGATGAGTGGCTGGGCCGCTGCATCCTTGATGCCACCGGGGTGGGCTGCACTGGCGACCACGAGGTAAGAAGAGAAGCCTCCCCACTGGTGCCTCCCATCTGGGCGTGTGCACATCCCCCTGAGAAGCAGAGAGAGTGGTTGGAGATACAGGCCTGGGTTTCTCTGCAGTTCTGTCATTTTCTATCCCTGTGACCTTGGGTAAGTTACTGAATGTCCTGAGCGTCCTCATCCATACCAATGGAAATAATTATTTCTCAGGCTTGTTATAAGGATTAGAAAAAATAAGGGAGGCTTGCACATAGTAGGTGTTTGGTATTGGCCATTATTATTTTATTTGAGCCTCTGGACAGCTCTGAGATAGGACACATGCCTGTTTCACAGATGAGCTGGCAGAGGCTTACCCAAGGTCACACAAGCTCACAACTGGTCAAGTTAGGCCAACACCCACAGAATTCTGACCCCAAGTCCACAACAGGTCATAGGATGGAGAGATGAGACACACACTTTTGGGGGCGTGGGGCACTGTCCCTTCATACTTCCCACTTCCCTTCCTCTCCCCAGGGGGTCCACTATAGCTACCTGGAGCTGAGCCCTGGGGAGCCCGTGCAGGAGGGGGACCCTCGTTTCCGTAGTGCCCTGACTGCTCACCCTGTCCATGACCCTGTGCACGTGTACCAGCTGCACAAGGCTTTTGCTCGAGCTGAACTGGAACGCACATACCAGGAGATCCAGGAGTTACAGGTATGGTCTGGGCTGGGGGTGAGGGGTAGGGAGTCTGGGGGGTGGGGAGTTAGGAGTAGGGGGTTGTGGAGGGTAGGAGGTGGAGGATAGGGGGTAGGGGTGAGGAGTGGAGAGTGGGGTTTCCTAAGAGGTCTCAGAGATCCCAGGAAAATAAAAAAATTAGCACAAGAATCAGAGCATCTCTGCTCTCTGGTCCCTGTCTGCTTCTACCTTTTCTGAGGAGCCTCTCCAATTTAATTCTTAGGCTGCCTCCCATCTGGGGAAAGGACAGGTGGGAGCATTGAGTGGGCTGAGGTTGGCAAGGGACTGGGGACTTGTGCTAAGTGCCACGTGCTCCTGCCCAGCCTCCCGGCTGCGTGCTGGCCCCCGTGGTCCGCGCCTGGCTCATGGCCTATTCCTCCAACCCAGTGGGAGATCCAGAACACCAGCCGCCTGGCAGCGGATGGGGAGCGGGCAGCCGCCTGGCCAGTGGGCATTCCAGCACCGTCTCGCCCTGCCTCCCGCTTTGAGGTGCTGCGCTGGGACTATTTCACAGAGCAACATGCTTTCTCCTGCGCTGATGGCTCCCCCCGCTGCCCGCTGCGTGGGGCTGACCGGGCCGATGTGGCTGACGTTCTGGGGGCAGCCCTAGAGGAGCTCAACCGCCGATATCACCCGGCCCTGCGGCTCCAGAAACAGCAACTGGTTAACGGCTACCGACGCTTCGATCCTGCCCGCGGGATGGAGTACACGCTGGACTTGCAGCTGGAGGCACTGACCCCCCAGGGGGGCCGCCGGCCCCTCACCCGCCGGGTGCAGCTGCTACGGCCACTGAGCCGCGTGGAGATCTTGCCCGTGCCCTACGTCACGGAGGCCTCGCGTCTCACTGTGTTACTCCCACTGGCCGCGGCTGAGCGTGACCTGGCCCCTGCCTTCCTGGAGGCCTTTGCCACGGCGGCGCTGGAGCCTGGTGATGCTGCCGCAGCCCTGACCCTGTTGCTACTATATGAGCCCCGACAGGCCCAGCGGGCGGCCCACGCCGATGTCTTTGCCCCCGTCAAGGCCCATGTGGCAGAACTGGAGCGGCGTTTCCCTGGTGCCCGGGTGCCCTGGCTCAGCGTGCAGACAGCTGCACCCTCCCCGCTGCGCCTCATGGATCTCCTCTCCAAGAAGCACCCGCTGGACACGCTGTTCCTGCTGGCCGGGCCAGACACGGTGCTCACTCCTGACTTCCTGAACCGCTGCCGCATGCATGCCATCTCTGGCTGGCAGGCCTTCTTCCCCATGCACTTCCAGGCCTTCCACCCGGCCGTGGCCCCACCCCAGGGCCCAGGACCCCCCGAACTGGGCCGCGATACAGGCCGTTTCGATCGCCAGGCGGCCACCGAGGCCTGCTTCTACAATTCCGACTACGTGGCGGCCCGAGCACGGCTGGCAGCGTCCTCGGACCAGGAGGAGGAGCTGATGGAGAGCCTGGATGTGTACGAGCTGTTCCTGCGTTTCTCCAGCCTGCACGTGCTGCGGGCTGTGGAGCCGGCGCTGCTGCAGCGCTATCGGGCGCAGACGTGCAGTGCACGGCTCAGCGAGGACCTCTACCACCGCTGCCGCCAGAGCGCGCTCGAGAGCCTCGGCTCCCGCACGCAGCTGGCCATGCTGCTCTTTGAACAGGAGCAGGGCAACAGCACCTGACCCCGCCCTGCGCCCCCGGAACCGGCAAGGCTGCGGCGCCCGGCCCCGCTCCTCCCCCAACCACCCGGAGCAACCTGCCAGACTCGAGGGATAGGGCTGGCTGCAGCCCCAGACCCCAGGGGCCCCTCTCTCTGGCGTGGGGTCACCCTGCGACTCAGAGCAAGCCTGGGAAGAGGTACCCTTGGAACCACCTTTTTCTGCCCCAGATCCCGTCTCCCTGGCCCCTTGACGCTGCTGATTCAGGCTGTGGCCTCCGAATATTTATGCAGTGCAGTCTGCCTGACGCCAGCCCCACCTCCTAGGGTCAGCCCAGGGGGCCTGGGCTGCAGATGAGTTGTTGGAGAAGGGTAGCTGAGAGGAGGGTGGGGCATCTCCCATCTTCTCCCCTCTGCATTCCTGATGAAGCTCCCTGACTTTAATAAACTGGCTGAGTGTGGACTAGTGTCTTGAGTCTTTGAAAGGTGGGCGTGGGGGCAGGGAGGACTGAGGATGGAGGCTTCCTGGTGCTGGCTGGCGCCTGGATTTCCTCTTCCAAGGGACCGAGTCATGCGTGTGCCCTGCCACGCCCCAGCTCCCGGCTTAGTCACATATACACACAGAGAATTCTTAATGCCTCTTTATTCCCAATTTTGTCAGCACTTTATAAAACCAGATCAGAAGCAGAGAGGCCTGAGGAAGCCCCCTTTCCCACCCCCAAGCTCAGCCAAGGTCTGGAAGAGCTGCTGCTCCCTGTGGCGCAGGCTTCAGGGAGTGGAGTTGGGGCAGGGGAAACTGGGAGCTGGGCCAGGCCGGCTGGATCACCCACTCCCCTGCCGAAAGGGGAGCCAGGTCTGGAGCAGGGCAGGAAGCAGGACCAGCCCAGCTGTCCTGAGTCCTGGGGGCCTGCCCTCTCCTGCTGACACTGCAGGACTGGGGTCCTGGCTGTCCCTAAACTACCCACCCCGATCACCATTGTCCCACCCGCCTTCTACATCGGTACCCTACCCCCACCCTGTCCCTGAATATATACAAATGTACAGAGGGTTCCACTCCTGGAGTGGGCCCCTTTTTCCTCCTCCCTCTTTCCTCCCCCACCCCTTCTCTCCTCCTCAGGGGCCCACGTCTTGATCTGCAGTTCTCCCTGGTCACCAGCCTGGGGGTGGAGGGTGTGCACAAGAGGAAGCCTTGTGCAAAGCACCTGGTGCCAGGGTGAGTGAGAGGCCCCACCCTTCCAGTGGGCACCGCTCTTGCTCCCTCAGCCTTGGCGCCCACCCCCCTCACCCCAGGCCTCCTGGGAGCTGGAGTCCAGGGGGGGATCCAAGGAGGAGTCCCAGACTCCTGGGTCCTTTTGGACACAGCACCATCCTAGCAAGCGAAGTCTTCAAAGAGGCCTCCTGGGGGGCCGTGGGGGTGGTGGTGGTTGGGGAGCAGGCTGCTGGCACCCCCGCCTTCAGCCCGGCCCCGGCTTGGGCAGGGACTCTGCAAGGTGAAAAGGGAGGGGGACAGGGAGAGATGGAGTGGAGCCCCCAGGCCTCTCACAGACAGCCTTCCCTCGTCCGTGGTGGGCAGAGGCTCCAGGAACCCCACCCTGGAGGGCTAGGTCAGAGGTTATGGGGGGATTCAGTCCTGGGAGACAGCGCTGGCTGCATACTCATCCTCACCTGCTCCTTCAGCTCCTGAAGCCCCAAAGTGGAGATGCCCCCCGTGGAGGTTCGGAGGGGGGTCTTGGGACGACGCCACGCCCGCTTCAGTCGGTCCCAGGACACCTTTGGGTTCAGGGTGGGGGGACAGCAGTGGGCTCAGGAAACTTGCTAGAGGAGAAGGACGGGCCTCACCAGCCCCACTATATAGGACCTGCTGTCGCAGCAAACCCCCACCAGGACACCCCAGCCCTCCTCCCCCATCCCCCTTCTCTGCCCCTCCTTGCGCTCAGACCTTCTGGCCAGTCAAGGGAGGAGGGAGGGTTGGTAAAGAACCCTGAGCTTGACTTCCTGCCAGTCCAGGTGTACCAGAAAGCCTGCCGGGCCTCTCTGCTTTCCCCCCAGCCCCTCCTCCTACCCACCAGGCCCCCGACCCTTGCCTCGTAGATGTAGTCGAGGATCTCCAGCAATGTGAGGATGCTGGCCCCGATGAACAGTCCCATCTGTCCCCCGAGGTCTCCTGGAGAGCACGAGAGCGGGGTCAGCGGGAGGAAGCTGGCTGCTCCATCCCCGTGCAATCACAGCCCAGGCTCACCCAGCAGGGCTGACAGGCCGTAGGCTGCTCGCTGCTCCATGGCCTCAGAGGTCAGGGCTTCAAAAAAGACATCGAGAACCAGGAAGTTCTCTCTGCAGAGACAGGAAGCAGGGTATCCCTGAGGGGCCATCGTCTCAAGGAGACAGCTGGCGGGACATCCCAGACCCAGCAGACCCAGATCTGAGGCCCCTGCACAGAGAAACTGGTGATCACCCCCAGGCTCCCAAAGGCTGTGAGGAGAAGCAGGCCCAGATTCCTGTCAGCTTCGTGTTCTGAGGGCTAGCAAAAGGCCTGGGAGAACAAAACTAAACTCCCAGGCCTGCCTTCCCTCAGGCCTTCTCTAAAACAGCAATTAGCATTCACTTTGCCTCATCCCCGTATCTCTGTAGAATCTTCGTGTGTGTGGGTGTGTGTGCATGCTAATTCGCTTCAGTCATGTCTGACTCTTTGCAACCCTATGGACTATAGCCTGCCAGGCTCCTCTGTCCAAGGGATTCTCCAGGCAAGAATACTGGAATGGGTGGCTGTGGCCTCCTCCAGGGGATCTTCCTGACCCAGGGATCAAACCTGAGTCTCTTGTGTCTCCTGCATTGGCAAGCAGGTTCTTTACCCCTAGCTCCACCTGAGAAGCCCCACAGAACCTTCAGTGGCTCCCTATTACCCTGTAGTCCACTCCATAATTCCTCTTCCAGACTTTTAAGACTGGCTGTGATCCGCTGCACTGCACGTTCTTGTCCAAACTGCGCTCTTATCTGCTTCTCTCCACAGCATCCCACACATCTCTAACTGGGATTCCCACCTCTCTCCTCTTCTCATGGACCCAAACTGGGGGTCCACAGAGGCCCAGCTCATGCCTCCCCCACTCCCGTTAACCCACCCACAGTCGTCTCTCCTAGGGGCCTAAAAACACTTTCAAACAAGGCCTCATCCACAAACTGTGGCATGAGTTATAATCATCTCTGTCCCCGCAGGGCCCAGCGCTGGGCCTGGCACTCAGAGGATGCTCAGCATTTGTAGATTGGCTGCAGGATACCAGATCCAGGGCTCAGTGGGGCCACCTGTGGGCCACCTGGCTCCTACCCAATCCCTTCCAGTTCCTCTCCCTCTGCACAGAACTGGACATGCACCGAACAGTTCCCAGGTTGCTGGGGCAGAAAGACACGCAAACAGAGGGTTCTAAAACAGCAGGCTAATGCAACGATAGAGATACGGACAGCATGCTGTGGGAACTCAGATGAAAGGCATTTGGACTCAGAAGGGCTTCCCTGGAGGCGAAGACAAAGGATGTGACTTGGAGGGTGGGCAGGGGTTAGTTAGAAAAAAACAGATCAAGATCCTGAAAGGCATTCCTGGCAGAACGCTCATTATTAACAAAGCTGCAATCCATTCCTAGCCTCCATCATATACTAGACCTATTGAGGGTGGTCTCCATTACACACATACACACACACACACCAGACCTATTGAGGGCGGTCTCCATTACACACACACACACACACACACACACACACACACACACATACCGTATGTAGGTCTCGTTGCGATTGTATTTTCTTGCCAGGTACCGGGCCGAGCCCCTGTTGGGGATCCTGACCATGGAGATCTCTTTCCCGTAGCGGGTCAGATTGCAGGGGGTAGGACAGAAACACGGGCCTCCGGAGCCCCCACCCAGGGAGTCTGCAACACAGAGGCAGAGAGTGCAGTGGGGGAGGGCAGGACGGCCCAGAGGCCCACCAGCTGTTGGAAGGAAGCCTCGGGGTGGTCCTGAGGCAGCCATGCCCACACGGAGGGCCGGTTCTGACCAGCTCTGGCACCAGACAGGCTTCCTGGTTCAGTTTCAGACCATCCAAGAAAGTGGGCGGGGGCAGAACCCCCAGCACATTTTTTCTCCCTCTGCTGCCCAGCCCCGCGGGGCGGAGAGGTCCTCATGGCTTAGAGGGAGGGCTCAGCCCACCTACCAGAGCTAATCAATCATGTGAGGCCACAGACACACGAGGGGCTTGGAGAAGATGCTGGGATGAATGGAATCAATGCATGTTTTTACATATGCCTATGGAAGAGTGGATGGATGGATGAGCAGATGAATGAACAGACAGAAGAACAGTGGGCAAGATCCCTGTGGCTCAGTGTACTGGGCTTTCCCTGTTCATCCCTTCAGATCCACTCTCCCCACCTTGCTCTGTCCCAGGAAGCTGATCTCTGCCAAATGCATCACCCAGACTCCCTGACCTCTGGTTTGGGGTAGAGTTTGCATCTCTCCTCTTGTAGCCTCAGCTCCGAGCTCCTGTCCATCTCGGACAGTCACAGGTCCCTCTCTGCGTGCCCCTAGTTCTGTGGAGTCTCACCCTTCCTTGTGGTCCCCTTATCCCCATTCATATCTGTTTCTTCATGAAACACTCTTCAGTCACCCCTTTGACAGATGAAGTTGTAGGACAGAGAAGGTGTGACTCAAGCCCACCCCTGTGGCCAGCATCTGGATTCCTCAGTGTATTCCTGATCAGTCACCCTGAGTCTAGTCTTCCTCCTCACCTTTCCATCCTCGCATCTCATCAGAGTCCCCTTTGTAAAAGCAGAAGGCATTCTTGCCTGGCCTTAAGCCATTGTTGGCTTCCCAGGGCCTCCTCTGCGCTTACCATGCCCTCCTTTGTTTTCTGCCTTCCAGCCACACTAACCTTTCAGGGCCCCAGACTCACGTGTGCTCTCTCTGGCCACAAGTCTTAGCAAGAGCTGCTCCCACCACCTAGAAGTGTCCCCCTCTTCACCAGCCTGATTTCTCCACATCCTTCAAGCCTCAGCTCATACGTCACTTCCTCTGGAAATCCTCCCTGCCTGCCCAGGTGGGGCTGCCTGCCTTTGCTGGGGCCCCATAGAATCGCTGAGGTTCCCCTACCCAAGGTCTAACAGGCTATATTGTGATGCCCATCCACACCCCTGCTGGGTAGTAAGCACCCCAGAGCAGGGCTCTCATTCCCATTCTTACCTCTGGCACCAGCGCAGGCTGTAAACATCTGTAGAATGAATAAATGAATGAATGAATGAAGCGTGGATCAGGTGAGATCTAAGGACAGAAGGGGTTGCCTTACCCACACTGACAGCCAGCAATGCACCTTTCCTCACACCAAGGGAGAAGTCACTTCCCTTTCCCGGAGAGGCAAGCTCATTTGCTGGACCAAGATGAGAAGCCCCACCCCTCACTCTCAGTTCCGGTTCTCGGCAACCTCCCACCCCAAGGCCTCCACTTACCCAAGTACCACACCTGCAAAGGTCCTCAGACCCCTGGAGGTATGGGATAAGGCTCAGCCCCCAGGAAAAACCCCAGGAGGAGACTGGGAGGGGAGGAGCCAAGGCAGTGAGGAGAAAGGTGGACAGAGAGATGAAGAGGAGTGGGGCGGAGAGGCAGGGCGAGAAGGCAGCACGGACCCAGTGTGTGGTCGGCACACTCGATGTAGATATTTGGCGGGCAGATGGTCTCATTGCCTGAAAGGACAGAAGATTATTCCTGGAGTCTATGGTTCCATCCACTCTCCACCCCGACATTCCCAAATGTGGGCACACATGTTCATGCGCACAAATTTGGTTCTCTGCACATATATGTGAATGCATGAATGTGCACGTGTTTGTGCCTAGAAGCATGGAGATGTGTGCGTGCATATGTGCGTGCAAGCCATGCACGCTTGCATGGACATGACTATGCACATGCATTTACATGCACGTGATGAAACATGTGCATACAACCCAAGTACACAAGTATAGATTACACAAGTACATGTATGCAGAAATACATAGTAACAGGCATAGATATATATGCATATGTGAAAACATGCACAAAATCCCAAACACATACCAGGTACCCTCACGTGGGTAGACACATGCACACATGTGGTCATACACACGCAGCTGCCCCCATGCATGTGAGCAGTGTTCTGCCCTCAGAGGTTCTGGAGCCTGGCAGGGTGGCACGGAGGGCTGGTGGGGGTGGGGTGCCCACCTGGCATGTGCACCATCCGGCAGTGGCAGCGCTGAAGCACGGCCTCCTTTTCACAGCGCAGCCGGCAGGCAGACACGCTGTAGGCTGAGTAGCCCTGAAGCTCAGGCTCCCCGAGCCCACTCTCCGCTCGGCAGTTGCCCCAGGGCTGGGGCAGGTAAGTCAGCTGAAGAGGCAGGGTATGATGGAGTCAAGCACAGAAGTCTCACCTGGGCCCCAGCACCCACAGCCCCAGCAAAGGCTGTGGAAAGGCTGGGGGGATGTGAGCTTCTGGAGGGCAGATCCGGTGAGCCTCCACTCCGGGCCCAAAGGCCCCCATGGCCAACCCAGGACGCAGTTGGGCGTGCTCACCCGCTGTTCCTGGCAGGACACAAAGGTCTGGAAGCCTGGGGACACGCCGAATCCCAGCTGGTGGATGTAGGGTGGCTCCTCCTGGCTGTGGATTTGCACTCGAATGCCCGCTTCAAATGATGTCTCGTCTGCACAGTGAAGATGGGGTCCTTAGGAAACCTTCGTCGCAGGCAGAGGACCCCGGCTGGAGTCCCTGTCCCTTTCCCGCCTGCATACTTGTCTCTCTCCAAATGGGCAGGTACTCCTCCTGTTGAATGTCCAACATGATTTCCAGGCCGCTGCCCATGCCCCCCGCCCGGCTGGGCAGAGAGCTCTGCGGATCCGCGTTGAAGGTATAACACTTTCCATAGCGAGTATAGACCTGGCATGAGAGAGAGGAGGGGCGGGGTGTGCAATGAAAGAGAACCCCTTAAGCTTTGGTGGTCTATAAGGGCCACCAGACCTGCCTGGTCGCCCCTGTCCTATATCCCAGCAACCAACCTACAGCCCAGCCGCTCCCTCAAGTTCCATCTTTTCTACTGACATCCTCTCTTCAATGGTTAAAATGCACCTTCAGCTTAATGGGGCTTCCCTGGTGGCTCAGCCAGTAAAGAATCTGCCCTGGGTCAGGAAGATCCCCTGGAGAAGGAAATTGCAACCCACTCCAGTATTCTTGTCTGGTAAATCCTATGCACAGAGGAGCCTGGTGGGCTACAGTCCGTGGGGTTGCACGAATGAGTGACCAACACTTTTACTTTTCTTTTCCAGCTTCATATATCATAGCAGAACTCTTGATGTTTTCCCAAATCCTGTCCCTGACTCATTCTCCTCCTCTGAGTAAAGGGCCCCGCTCTCAACCTAGTTTCTAGGGTCAGAATCCCTGAAATCGCCTTCTCCCGGTAAGTTGGTTGCTGACATATGGAACAGGGGTGACCAGGCATCTAATCCAGCAGCCATCTTGGGCAATTCTACTTCTGAAATCTATTTAGAATCCATCCAGTTTCCTTCCATCTCATATCCCACTTTCATTATCATCTGCCTCTGGCCATGGCGGCAGGCTCCTAACTAGTGTCCCTGCATCCACCTTTGCCTCTCCCTTCCAAGTCAGACATGATTGAGCGTCAGCGTGTTTAAGTTTTTTTCTGCCAAGTCATTCACAACACGGTAGCCAGAGTGCTCATTCTAAACTGCGGAGATCCAATCAAGTCACTTGCCATCTTAAAGCCCAACAACTGCTTCCCATTCCCCAGAGAATAAAGCCAAGTTCCCTCCTTGCCTGAAAGTATCCACAAGAGGTGACCTTTGCCTCTCTCCTGCTTTTCCACCCCCCAGATCTTCATGACAAATTCAAACTTATGGAGCAACCTCTCTCCCGGGGCCTTTGTTCATGCAGTTCCCTCTCCTGGAATGCTCCCTTCCACCCAGCTGGCATGGCCCAGCTGCTCATCTTTTAAACCTGAGCTTAAGTGTCCCTTCAGATGCACACTCATAGGTCTCACCCATGTTCACAGTGTCACCCTTCCTTGATCAGTGTGTTTGTGGGTTTGCTCAAAATACTCATCAAGACCTGAGATAACCTTGCTCATCTGTTTGTCTCCCTGGGCAGCAATCATCATCCCTCACTCGACTTCATGCTACACAGAGGCAGTGAGTCGAGCATCCCCAGTGCAGGGCACAAGGGATGCTTTAAGAAAAGACGACCCGCGCTGAACTGAAGCCCATCCCCGGTTTCCTCTGTGGAAAGTTCTCCCATATGGACACCAGATGGCGCCGGCGCCCCGGAGATGGAAGCCGAGGCTCCGGCTGGGACAGAGCTGCGGTTGGGAGTTAGTTGCAAGCGACTGGGGTGGGGAGGAGGTTGAGGGAGGGAGGCAGATGGAAGTTCCCCCTGCCTGGCTCACCCCACAGAGACCAGCCCCCGGGTCAAACCCATCACAGGCAGCACCTTCCCTGGGGGTAAGGAGGTCAGCGCACTCAATCTCTCTCTCTCTCTCCCCCTCTCCTCGGGAACATTTTCACTCTGGTGAAAGCTGGGAGGAGAGGCATGAGGAGGCCGTGTAAGGGAAAAGATTCCTAAATGCCTCGCTCCAGGGAAAGGGGAGGGCTGGGTTGAGGGCAGTGCGAGTGAAGAGTTCTAGGAACTGGGGGCCAGGGATGCCCCCGTAGTGGGGCAGGGTTGTCTCACCCTCCCATCTCTACTAGGTTAATGATCCTGCTAATTCTTCCCTCTCAGACAGTTCTTCTATCACCCAAGCACCTCACCTCAGATTCTCAAAACAAAAGGACTCACGTAACAAGCACTGTGCAGTTTACAAAACATGGCAACGTCTTTTGCCCCATTGCATCTCCTGGGCAACCCTGGTATCAGGTAGGTTTAATGAGCCTGATGATTACAGATGAGGAAGCCGCAGCTCAGAGAGGCGATGTGAGTTGCCCAAGGTCACACAACTAGTCAGTGGGAGAGGTGCAGCTGACTGAGATAGAACTCAGGGGTTCCCACCATCTAGTGCTGGCAACTGCCCCAACCCCAGCCTACCCCGCCCCAAGTCCCAGCCCCTGTCCCAGCCCCATCCAGCCAAAAGGAGACTGGAGTCTCAACACTCAACCCCTTTTCTTCCATCCCACCTTCCCATTCACTCCAGTCCTCTACACCTTCCCTACTCTCTTTTCCATATCTGCTGCCTCTCGGTTCAGTCCCTCACCCGTCCCTCTACTCCACCTTCGCAGCCATGCCAGCTGCGGGGCTCCAATCGTCACTGACCATGTCCGTCACACCCCTGCCCCAGCTCCCTGCGGGGTGGCCATCAGTGGGGCAGGAGTGGGCATGGCTGACAGCCCTAGAGCATTCGCTCTGCCCCAGGCACTGCGCTCAATGCTTCACAGGCTCTTTCCAATTCCAGTCAAATCTCACAGCCACCCGACATCCTACAGATGAGGAAACTGAGGTCCCAAGGTTGGCTGATTTGCCAAGGTCTCCACGATCAGTGCTTCTTAAACTCTAATGTGCACACCGAGCACGAGCACCTAGAGGTCTTGTTAAAAGGTAGGTTCTGAGTCGGTAAACATGTCTTGGGGAGCAGGACTGAGATTCTGCATTTCTAACAACCCGCTGGTCTGCAGACCACGCTATGGATCAAAAGTCCCTAGACAAAAGGGCCAGAGTCCAGCAAGACAGCCCAACTCTAGATCTGTGTTTTCACAACATGTCCCCAAAGGGAAGAGAGCTTTGAACAGGGCTGGGGGCAAGATCACTGGATCCTCAGTGATATGGGAAAGGCAGAGGGGGGAGAATATGTAAGCATTTGCCCCAATTCTCAAAGCACTCACCCCCTTCCTATTTTGGGCCAAGCAGATGCTGGAATCAGCTTTTGATGCTGCAGCCATTTTTCAGTGTAGGCTCCAGGGGGGCAGCTAAACAACGTACCAGGCTGCATGGGGAACCCTGGTAGGGAGCTGCTCACACGTGCCCCCCCCCCAGCATGCAGTGACTGACCCTGACCCTTGGGCACTGTCATGATCTCTCCCATGGGACCGTGGACTCCTTGAGGCTGGGAGCCCCCATTTCACCGTCTTGGTATCCCCAGTGCCTGCCAAGTCGCTTCAGTTGTGTCTAACTCTTTGCAACCCCATAGACTGTAGCCTGCTAGCCTCCTCCTCTATCCATGGGATCCTTTAGGCAAGAACACTGGAGTGGGTTGCCATGCCCTCCTCCAGGGGATCTTCCTGACCCAGGGATCGAACCTGTGTCTCTTGAATCTGAACCTGAGTGGGGCCAGGGCTGCCTCCCTACCTGATCCTTCCACCACACACACACACACACACACAGACACAGACTACATGATACTGAGACTAGCCTTGTGCAGAGCAGAGCCAACTTGGAAGGCTTGGGCTCCAATGGCTTCAGATGGGGGTGGCTACCTGGTACCTCTGCCCTCGAGGAGACTGTGCAGAGAGAAGGTGACAAAGGAAAATGGGTGGAAGGACTCTGAGTCTGATGGACAATGCTCTGCAGGGAGTGGACAGGCCAGACTGGCAGGGCCAGGCCACCTGCACCGCCCGGGTCAGGCCCCACTGCTGGGCAGAGCAGAGCGTTGCCCTGGAGACAGTCCCTGGGCCAGGCAGGCAGCAGCGGGTGTAGCTGCCGGCTCCTAAGTGGCAGAACCCTGGTGGCAGCACAGTCCACAGCCTCTTCCATGGAGACGGCACGGCTGCTCAGCCACAAGGTCCCACTGGCTGCCCACTGCGCTCTCCCCAAGGACTGGCCCCAGAGGAGGGTGTGTGCACAGGAGTTGAGGCTCCAGAGTCCGGCCACGGAAAGAGGCATGTCCTGGGCCAGGATGTGCCCTGATGGACTGAGGGGCTATTTCCAGATCTGCCACCACTAGCCTCAGCCTTCAGCCTGTTCCCATCCCAGCAATACCTCCTTCTCCTGCCTGGTTCTCCCTCTTCTCAGCCCTCCCTTGCTCCCTGCCCTCATTCCTAGGTCTGCCCTCCTGGGTGTGGGCGGAGCCCCTCTGGGCCTGGGCTGGACAGCTTCTAGACAGGACTGTGTCCGCACTGCAGGCAGACCCCTGGACCCCTCCCCCAGCTTGCTTCCTGCCAGCTCTCTGCCTGTTCCTCGCCTTCAGCGTTGGCCTGGGTCTGTCTGCCTCTCCAGCCTCCCCGTCCCTTGATCTCAGTTTGCCTCTCAAGCCTCTCTGCATCCTCTTGGGTCTTTCTCTGTCCTCAGCATCTGATCAATTATTCATCTGGCCTGTGTCTCTGCTCCATGCCCTCTGTCTGCTTGTCCATCCCCCTGGCCTGGCCTTTTTCCCACTGGCCTGGGTACACCACCCCCTCCCCCCACCTCTCTGCTCTTTTGCCCATTGCATCTCTACCTGTTTGCTTTTTTGTCTATCCCCTAGACTAGGTATCCAGTGTCTTCCTCCTCCTGATTTTTTCCTGGGCCTGAAACCACCTCCCTGACCAAGAGTCCCTGCCCAGTTGCGCCTGCCTCCTTCTCCCTGCCTGCTTCTCCAGGTCTGCCCCAGATGGCGACCAATGACCAGAGACTGGGAGAGATCTGTCCACAGCGTGCTCCTCTGAGCGATGGCTTCTCTCTCAGCCCCTTGAGTTCCATCTGTCCACAGCTCCCATTGCCTTGGCTGGCTGGTATCCGCCCTCACCCCTTCCCACCCCCTCATCCTCCCTGCAGTCCTGGAGCCCACGGGGTTAACAGGCAATTAGCAGGGCCAGGGCTCAGAGCGGTAGGGGAGAGGGCTCTGGGTCTTCAGGAGATAAGAAGCAGCCAGGAGCAGCCGAGGCCGGGCTAATCCCAGCACTAATCTGCGGCCTGGGCTTTATCTCCATTGCCTTCTGGGCACCCTGCCTCTGCCAAGGCCT